CTTCCAGCCCGCCCCCCACCGCTCCCCTGCACACTCGCATAGGCGTGGCAAGCACACGTGTGCATACTTACACTCTCCAGGCTTCATCCTCGCCCTCACCCACCCCGTCCTGGGCCAAACCCTTCCTGCCTAAGGCCCTCTGCCCAGGGCTCAAGGAGGATCGCCAGCTGCTTGATATTGACCCGCCCACCCCCCAGAGAGCAGCTGAGGACCAGGGCTGGAGCAGGAAAGCTAAGCGGGGTCCTCTCCCTCAGTGCCTCCCCCGGAGGGGCAAGACCAGGCTCTCCCAAAGATCCACGAGAGGTCCCTCCCTCCTTGGCTTTCTTCTCACCACCCACACCCTCTTTCTGCCAGCCTCTTCTTTTGGGAGACCTCTTCTAGGTTCCAGAAAGCTGACATGTCATTGCCACCCGGTTGAGAAGAGGTTCCACTTGGACACAGGCCGCTGGGCCCCCAGTCCAGGCGCCGCCATTCACTAGCTGAGTGACCTGGGGCCAGGCCCCACCCCTCTCTGAGTGGCTCTCAAACAGGGCTACTGGTTTCATCCCAGGCTTGTCACCCAGTGCTTCCCAAGCCTGCAGAGTGTCAATCAATGGGACGCTCGTTAAAGCCAACTCCCCAGTCCCAACCCAGATCTGCTGGGTCCTAACCTCAGTGGGCGGGGCCTATGAAATGAAATTTGGTCAGTTCCCTGGGGGGGTCTGACCCACACCACAGGCAGGTTTGGGCACCTCTGGTGTGAGCTCTTACGACAAAGGGGGGGCATAGACGTTGAGTGTGGGCCATGGTACCCCCCGCCCAAGAATTCAGAAGTTAATTCTTAGGGGTGGAAGGGAGAGCTTCACGGACAGGGTTGTCTTAAGTGACTCGAAAGACGAGTCGAGTTGTCACAGGGATAGGAAAGGTGTTCCAGCAAAGGGACACTGGAAGTGGGTGTGGTTCACAATGTTCCTACTAAAGGGCGGGAGAGGCAAGGAGGGGGGGCCGGGCCGGCGTCTTCCTGGAGAGGTGCCTGCCAGGGAAGGGTTAACCCCAGGGCGGCCAGGTCCTGTCCACTCAACTTCCACCTCCATCCTCTGAGGAAATGGGTTTTCCAGGAGCCTGGGTGGGCTGGCGGTGACTCCTGGCTGGACACGGTTGACAGAGGGAGTGACTCAGACCCCCAGGGGAGAAAGTGAGCTGTGCATCCCCTGTCCATTGCCCCTCCCCTGCCAGGAATGGGCCGGGCCGGGCCTGAACTAGAGCCAGACCCCTTCTCCTGGGCCCAGACAAGCCCTGGCACCCTCGGCTCCTGGATTCTTGGGGACCCTGTGACGGTGGCCCCCATTGCGTCAAGCTGGGTCAGGCTGTTCTGTTCTCTGTCTGTTGACGGAAAGCCTGAGGTCAAGGGCAGCTGCTCTGGAAGGAGAGCTGGGGGGTTGGGCTCCCCTGGCAGCCCGGTCCCCCAACCCTCTCTCCCAAGCTGGAATTGTCTGCACTGTCTGTTTTCTCTCCTTTTCTTTGGGGGTCTCCCAAGCCAGGGGAGCATGCACCCCTGGGAGCTTTGCCAGCGCCGGGTCTGCAAGGAGTTCTCTAGAGCGAGAGCCAAGCCCGTGTCTTGACTCCACCCACGGTGACCATGGAGCCGGTAGCCCTTCCCTAGCCTCAGTTTCCTCATCTGCAAAATGGCAGAGCAGTAGGAGCAGCCTGCAGGGTGGCTTGGTCAAGTGGCAGTGTAGAGGTGCTGCTGTGAGGATCTCCCTCTCAGCCACGCCCTGTCTGGCAGTGCTGCGTGAGGGGGGACGAGGGTCCAGCCAGGGGACAGTGGTTGGCTCTAAGAGTATTTGATGGCCGGGGGCCGTCCAGCCCTGTGGGTCCCCAGCTCCAGAGATGGTGAGACCAGGGATAAGGTTCTGGCCACGTGGTCCATGTGGAGGTCCACAAACCAGGTTCAGTCTTTAGAACACAGGCCCCTCATTCCTAGCTGAGCCAGGCAGGGGCACTGGAGTGGGGACCAGGGCATTCTGCAGCCCTGCTGGAGGTGCTGGGAGTGTGTGACCGTCCTCATGGACACTGACTGCACCCTCTGAGTGGGCTGTACGAGGTGGCATGTGAGATGGGTGGGGGAGGGGTGTAGTGTGGCGTGGGGGTGGGGAAGCACAAGCAGGACAGTGCCCTCCCCCTGCCCGATCTGGGTTGGGATCTTCTCCTGGTCCCCAGTCCACTCTCCTGTCCCTCTGAGGGTTCTGTGGACTGACGGCCCCAGGTCCGGGCTGCGGGGAGGGAACTTTTCTGGGTGGGTTTCAGGCTTCCCATTGCACTCCCGGAAAGGAAGTTTCACGCTCTAAGAATTTCCTGGCAAGGTTCTGTGGAGGTTGAGCTGGCTGTGAAGGCCACGAGGGCAGGGCATGGGGGTGAGGGGTGCAGTAAGGGCCTATGAGCTGGTCAGAAAGTACACGGATATTTAGCTGACACCGATGGCACCTACCACATGCGTGGCCCTGTTCTAAGTCCTTTATGGGTATCAGTTCATTTAATTCTCACAGGAACTGTTGAGGTGGGCTTGACTTTTAGTCCTATTTACAGGCGAGGAAACTGAGACCCAGAGAGGGTAAGGAGCTAGCCCAAGGATGCACAGCTAGTTACTGGGAGAATTGGAATTTGAACCCAGGTGGTCTGACTCGAGTCTACTCCACTAACAGTGGATTAAAGGAAGCCAGGCAGCCTCAAATCCCAAGAATGTCAATGGAGACAGAGTTGTCCACCTTGGAGTGGCTGTTCAGTCAGGGTAGAGTGGGGATGAGCCAGGAAGTGTCAGGGTCATGCAGTTGGTCTCTTCCTCATGTGTTCAAATCCCTTTCATGGCACACCATGGTGGTGTAGCCTCTTGTTCCCCTCCAGTGATGGGGAGCTCACACTCTGTCTGCCTTTTTGCTCTTAAAGGCCAATCCAATGGGTTGATCTAAAGTGGATAAATTCTACTCTTACCTGGGATCTTGTCTACAGACACTGGTAACTCACTTTGAAGGTCAGTGTGACAGAAAGATACATACATTCTGGCCAGCTCCGTCCTTGTTTGCTATGTGATGTCAGGAAGTCATTGGCCCTCTCTAGACCTCAAATCTAAAAGCTATAAAATGGAGAATTTGGGCCAAATTCTCAAGTGATTTGTGAACTACGAGTTCACAAGTATAGAGCAGTGGTCATGGCAAGGGAGACTGCCTGGAAGAGGTGACATTTCATTGGGAGTCAGAGGTAGACAGCGACAGAAACTGGCAGAAAGGAGAAGGAAAGATGGGTGTCCAGAATGGACACGTTTCTGTCTTGGATGCTGGTTTCCTTCCGCTGGTCTGAGGTGGCAGAAGGCCATTTCAAAAGGAGCCAAAATGCCCAGAAAGGCCACAGAATGAAACCTTAAACATCACAACCTAGGAAACAGTGGCCGTTCCCTAAAACGCTTTCACATCCTTCTTTTAAGGGGTCCTGCGATGTCACTAGAGCAGGATAATGAGCCTGATTGACCAGTGATTGGCCTGATGAGGCCCAAGAGATTAGGGTTCTATTACACATGGAAGACTAGCTCTAACTTGAGGGGCCCAGGTTAGTTAGAGGAAGGCCAGGTCCAAGCAGGAGACAATAAATTACTGCCCAGGCCACCCCTCCCTTTGACACTACCCTCAAATAGTCAATCCAAAAGCCACCTCTTCCTGGAAGCCTTCCTTGGTTTCTCCCAAATTCAGACTTTTCTTATGTCCCTAGGTTGCCAGGCTTCCCTTTGTCTAGCTTGTGGCAGATGATTGCATCTGTCACCATGACCATATGCAGTTCCCCACAGGATGACGATGCCTGTTCATGTCTGGCACCACCCAACTTGGTCACAGGGCCAGATGGCATTGGGGAAGACCAAGCCACCTGGCATCTCTCTATGTGTGCCAGGCTCACAGGTTCTCTGCCAGGCACTACAGTGCTGACCAGGCATGAAAAGCTCCTGGCTTCTGGATAATCTTGGGCAAGTCATTTAACCCCCTGGACTCAGTACAGCTCCTGTCACAGGGTTGGAGTGAGGATTAACATAGGTGTGAGAGTGGGATGGGTCAGCACAGGCTGACAGATGGTAGGCACTCAGCTATCAGAGCCCACGGTTGGTCAGAAGTGCCCCCTTTATGCTGGGGTAGAGGTGGAGGTGAGGGTAGCCGGGCCACCCGCGATTTGGGCGGTAAATTTGAGTGTCCCGTCTCTTCAGATCGGGACATTCAGCTGCAGTTCCGACTGCCCAGAGCCCTGGAAATTGACTCCCTCTGGTGGTTATTATGGGAAGCGCCCTTTCACTGCAGCCCCTGTAGAGGGCGCCATGGGCGTGCTGATTTTTCCCTCTTCTTCACAAGTTCACCCACCCAGCCTTGCTCCAGCCACCTCCCTGGATCAGGAAGGAACTTCCCTGGCTGGCTGAGGAGGGAACGCACCATCCCGCACCTCCCTGAGAGGCTAACAGAGGGGGCCCTGACCAGTGGTGGGAACCAAAGGAGTCCAGGACCACCAGCAGAGGGCGCTGAGGAAGGCTTCCTGAGGGAGGTGTCCTCTGAGCTGTGTCTCAGGGATTGTGATGGTGAGGTTCCTGGGAGAGAACTCTGACAGCCCCCTTTTCCTGTGTCTCCTCCAGGCCTGGAGGGGGCACGGTAGTCCCAAATGGTGCTGTGTAGCCTTCCCCACCAGATTCTAGCCAAGATTATTACCCTATCACTGCTGGGTCCAGAGGGAGGTACTGTTATTGGCCCCATTTTCCCTGACTTACAGTCGTATGGCAAGCAAGAGATGGACTCAGGACTTGAACTTGGCCGGACTCTGGACAGCCACAGCCTCTTGATGCTCAGCCCCTGGCAGGTCTGGGCGGTCCACAGACTGTTTCCATACTTGCCCCCCACACACACACTTTTCACAGCTGCACTGGCCTCCCCCTCTGCAGGGCTGGCCCAGACACCCTGCGGGGCAGGCCCCTGCCTAACACCCCTGGTATCTTTCAGGCGGTGACTTCTCAGGGTGACTTCTAAGGAAGAAGATGGCTTCCCGGGGACAGGTGCAGACAGTGCCGCTCCTGCTGGGTCTGCTCCTCCTGGTTCAAGGTAGGCTTTCCTGGGACTGTTGTGACTTACATTAAAATTCCCCATGGCTAAGACAGCTGCCAGTACATCCACTAAGCCCTTTGGGTGGGCACAGGCCTGCAGACACAGCTTAGCAGATGGTTGGCACCTTGGAGGAAAGAGAGAGGCACCTCTTTTTTTGCTTTGTTTCTTAAAGTAAACTTTTTCTTTTCTTTTTTTAAAGAATAGTTTAGTGATTTTGAGAGAGAGAGAGGAAGGGAGAAGAGAGAAACACTGATCAATGTGAGAATGTAACATTGATCGGCTGCCTCCTGCACTCCCCTACCAGGGATTGAGTCCGCAGCCCGGGCACGTGCCCTGACTGGGAATCAAACCAGCGACCTTTCAGTGCATGGGTGACACCCAACCAACTGAACTGCACTGGCTCGGGCAAGGTACCACTTTTCTTCTTGCAGATGCAGTTGCCCAGTGCACAGCTTGGGGTGGGGAACACAGATGGGTTTCGGTCCTACTCGCCTCTGGAGCCGAGCACCCCTGTGCGTGCCCAGCCTGCACAGCTGCCTGAGCAGGCATGGCCTCACCAGATACCCTACTGCTATTTTAAAATGCTTTGCTATTGAAATTATTATGAATTTTGAGTTTATTCTTTTCACATTTTGAAACCAATCATTTTTAGCTGGGTAGACTCACATTTTTGTAGACCCTTTGAGGTATAGGCCTTTGAAATGTGTGTGGGTCCCAGGCACTGGGCTCCCGGGGGCCTGGGGCCTGCCCCTCCCATGGCTGCAATCCTGAGTGCCATCTGCAGTCTCTGCCTCCTCAGGTGCCCGTGCGGGAGGCTTCCGGGAAGACTTCCGCTTCTGCGGCCAGCGGAACCAGACGCAGAAGAGCAGCCTCCGCTACACGCAGTCGACAGAGCTGCACATCTCCATCCAGAACTCCGAGGAGGCCCTCACAGTGCACGCCCCCTTCCCTGCACACTCCTCGGCTTCCCAGTCCTTCCCTGACCCCAGGGGCCTCTACCATTTCTGCCTCTCCTGGAACCGCCACATGGGGAAATTGCACCTTCTCTATGGCAAGAACGACTTCTTGCTGAGTAACCAAGCCTCTAAGCTCCTGTGCTTCTGGAATCAGAAGAAGAGCCTGGCCCAGGGTCCCCTAATGCTCGCCACCTCTGTCAGCTCCTGGTGGAGCCCCCGGAACACCAGCCTGCCCAGTGCTGCTGGCGTCACCTTCTCCTTCCACGGTAAGCCAGGAAGGAACAGCTTGGGCAAAGGCCCTGAGGCAGGGAAGGCAGAAGAATGCACATCAGGCTTGAGAGTGGACAGGGTCTGAAGGTTCACTCATGAAACTCGGGCTTGTTCACAGGCAGTGGGGAGCCCCTTAAGGTGGATGAAGAGGGGAGCGTGTGATTCAAGGTGTGCGTCAGGAGGTTTGTGGGAGGGTAGGGGTGAGGTTGGAGGGGGGCCAAGTTCCATCTAGAGTCTGCAGGAAAGGTCCAGGTGAAGGGAGACGGTGGAAACAGAGAAAATGGAAAGAAAAGACTGGCTATCAGAAGACAGAGGAAAAATTCTGTTTCATCAGCATCATTATAAGGTGTTTGTCCCTATTTGACAGAAGGGGAGACTGAGGCACAGAGAGACACAAAGTTGCACAGCTAGTAAGTGAGGGAGCCAGGATGTGAACCCAGGAGCTGAGTGGCATGGGGTGGGGTGGGGGAGAACGAGAGAAGTCCAAGTTCATGAAAGCAGCCAGGCTGACTCTGAGGGTGAAGACTGCATGTACCGCCTAGGGGGTGACAGTGTGATGTGGCCCCTGCCTCCCACAGGTGCTGGATGGAGGCCAGGGAGGGGAGGGTGGCCAGAAGGAGCTGGAGGCTTTATTGGGGAAGTCCAGGATTTCCCTGATTCTGTTCCTTCCAGGCAGCTCTGGTTTGGGGTGGGGGGACTCAGCACTTTGAATATGTTAGCAGCTCCAGGCCCATGAAAATGCTGGGAACAGCTGGGGCGGGCCAGCTTCTGGCCCAGGTGCTGTCTTGTGGAGCAGACGGGGCCAGGTAGTCCCTGGGGTACCTCACCCCCAGGTTGGGATTGTCTTCCAGCCTGGGAGAGTTTAAGGCAAAGTCAGGCCCAGCTGCAAATCAGAACAGATCTGGCCTGGTCTTACTTGGCCTGTAGAGAGGTGGTTTTTGTTCTTTGTTTTGTTTTTCAGTTTTTTTAATTGAGCCAAATGTTTCAAATCACCTAAAAATCAGGCTTTCTCCTTATAAAGTCATATGTGGCTACCTAGGACCTGCCTTCCTTGATGGCACAGGCAGGCCCCCCAGCCCCTAACAGTGTCTCGTCCCTGTCTGCCTACTTCATCCGAGTCCTGTCCGACCACTAGAGACACCCACGCCTGCAGCCTGGGGATGCAGGGTACTCAGGTGGAGGGCCTGGAACCTGGGGTCCGGGAGGCTGGGTATATGGAGTCCCCAGAGCCACCACATGAGCCCCTCGATCCCTCTTGAAGAGAGCTTAGCTGGGCCAGGGCCGTGGAATGGGCCCTCCCAGCTCCTGTATGTAGGCACCTGGGTAGGTGTGTCCCTTGTCACCCTGCTGGAGCTGCAGCTGCTGCAGGTTCCTGTCTATCTGGCTGCATCTCTGAGTGACGTTGGTGAGCCCACCCACCTCATGGAGCCTCGGGTGGGAATGAATCTGTCAGAGTCATGGAAGGATTGAGAGGACCATGAGTGTGACATGGACCTCAACCAATAGCCTTAGGTGGGTCTGCCTGTCCCCCTAGATCCTCCCCAGAAGGCCTCCCACAATGCCTCGGCGGACATGTGTGAGCTGAAACGGGACCTCCAGCTGCTCAGCCAGCTTCTGAAGCCCCCCCAGAACTCGAGGAGGCCCTCAGCCACCCCCACCTCCTCCAGCCGGTGAGTGTGGCTCTCAGCGAGGGGGTCAGGGTGGGCGCCCTCCAGATCTGGACCTGGGCAGGCCAGGAACCTGGAGTGGGAGGCCGGCGTGGACACTTCCTCCCCTGGGGCTGGAACGTTCTCGTCTTTCCATCTCCTCCTGGAGCCAAGCCCCAGGCCTGCCTGAGCAGCACAGACAAACGGCCCGCTGTCCCTGAACAGTGCTTCCAAGCCCTCTCCCCAGCGGTGACGGAGAGGTGATGGGCCCATTTTACAGCTCAGCAGACTGCAGCCCACAGATGGGAGGGCTGCTCCGTGGCCACACAGTGGGTCAGTCCAGGCAGAACTGGGCCAGGATAGCCCCCACCTCACCCCTCTCTTTTCCTGTTTGCTCAGGTGTTCCCACTTCCTCTGTCCCTCCCACGCTCGTTGGGCTGTTTTTCTCTCCTGCCCCTGTCTTCTCTCCCCTGACCCTCTTTCCTCTTCTCGTCGGCCTCTTTCCTGTGTATCCCCCTTTGGCTCCCTGCTTGCCAGCCGGCTTCCCTCCCGAGTGGTCACCACCCTTCTCTCCCCTGTCAGGGAGCTGCAGAGCCTGGAGTCGAAGCTGACCTCCCTGAGGTTCACAGGGGACACAGTGTCCTTCGAGGAAGATCGGGTCAACGCCACAGTGTGGAAGCTGCAGCCCACAGCCGGCCTGCAGGGCCTGCACATTCACTCCGGGCAGGAGGTCAGGGCGCGGGACCCGGCAGGTCAGGGCGGGAAGCAGGTGTGCAGGCTCGAGCACGCCCCTCCCTGGCCTCCCAGGCCAGCTGTGTGCTGACGAAGGAGCCGGGCCCCAGGAACACCCTCACTCAGTGGCTACCCTGTGGCACTGGGGATCCTTCCTGGCACAGTGACGGGGACAGAGCGGGGGTCCTGCTTTCTGCACTAGGGGCTCCTGTGGCATACCTATGTGGACAGAAGATCAACCCCCAAATGCACCCAGTCTTGAGATGGCCTCTTGATTAGCTGGGAGGCACCATATCGCACCACACCAAGATGCTATAGGCAGAGTTGATGTCTGAGGCCCAGGCGACAGGATCCATGTGATTTTCCCAGGCCTGTTAGCCCCTGGGCCCTGGGCTCTAACCACAGCTCTCCCAGCTAATGCTGCTGCCAAACCAGGGAGGGAGTGAGGAGGGCCGTTGTGAGTCAGGCTTCCTGAAGGAGGTGCTGAGAGGTGGCTGTGTCCAGGGAAGTGTGGATGTGGGAGGGGGATGGAGAGTGTCTGGGGGTCCATCTCTGGCTGAGCCCTAAGGACACTTTGGTCTGCAGGAGGAGCGGAGTGAGATCCTGGAGTACTCAGTGATGCTGCCCCGCGTGCTCTTCCAGAACAGAGGCCGGAGCGGGGAGGCTGCAAAGAGACTCCTCCTGGTGGACTTCAGCAGCCAAGCCCTGTTCCAGGTGTGGGACCCTCGTCTGGTGCCCTGCCCTGGGAAGCGCAGTGTCTGTCTGATGGAAAGATGGAAGGAAGGCTTGGGGCCCAGCCTCTGCCTTCAGGAGTCAGAGCCTTTTCTTGTAAAGTCAGGAATTGGACTGCAACATGCAAATCTCCCCAGGGAAGGGCTAAATGAGATTGCTCTTACTACAGTGTAAATGACTGCATGTGCAATAACTGTTTCCAGAAGGAGACCCAGAATGTTAGAGACAGGAGTCCAGAGAGTCTAGGCGACTTCTGGGCCTTTCTTCCCAGCCCTGAGCCCCCTCCCTTCTCTCTTCCCCCACCCCATGTCTAGGATAAGAATTCTAGCCAAGTCTTGGGTGAGAAGGTCTTGGGTATTGTTGTGCCTCACACCAAAGTAGCCAACCTCTCAGAGCCTCTGGTGATCACCTTCCAGCACCAGCCACAGCCGGTGAGTGTGAGCAAACCAGCCGTGGAGACAAGACTCCCCTTTTGGCCGTTTTTCTTTCCTCCCCCTCTCTTCTGAATCACTGGATTTTAACAAGATGGTTGACCAGCTGAGGGCACCAGGCAGTCGGATCCAGATGGGTGCTGGCCAGACAGTGACTCCCTCAGTCTGGCGCGTGAAGGGGTGGACTGTAATGGGATCCACTCTCCCTTCTTGTCCCTACAGAAGAACATGACTCTACAATGTGTATTCTGGGTTGAAGACTCGGCATGTGAGTGTGGAGGGGTCTCTGCATCGGGCAGGTGTTTGGAAAAGAATGGAGTCCTGGGGGGTGAGGGTCATGGGGTTAGTCAGGGGGGTTCCTGGAGAAAGGTGGGCTTTGAAGAAGGAGTGAAGCAGACCCAGAAGAGTGATGAGTCATGTATTTGGGAGCACACTGGGGACTTGGAGGACTGGGCCTGATCAGGCCCCATGCTGTTCGCTCCTCAGTGAGTAGCCCAGGGAGCTGGAGCAGCGCGGGGTGCGAGACCATCAGGAAGGAGACACAGACGTCCTGCTTCTGTGACCATCTGACCTACTTTGCAGTTCTGATGGTGAGTGGACCCCCTCCTGCCCTGCAGCCATACCACAGCCATACCACAGGCCAAGTTCTTGCTGTGCCAGCCACTTGCAGAGAGTACATGATCCATTCCTCACAACAATGCCCGAGATGGCTCCTGTTGTCCCATTTTACAGATAATGAAACTGAGGCTCAGAGAGGTTAAGCAATTTTCCAAGGGTCACACAGCTAATAAGTAAAAGATCTGGTCTCCAGAGCCCTTGTTGTTTATTGCCAAATTTTGGCCCATGATAAAAATGCAGATTCCTGGCCCTATCCTGGAATTCTGGTTCCAAAGAGCTGGGCTGGGGCCAGGAGTATGTTTCTAATGGTCCATTGAGGGGGTACTGAGGCCCAGTGTGGAGACCCTTGAGTGGGCACCAGTGCCCCTGAGATCTCAGAAGCTTTGTGTCCCCGTTCCCAGAATTTTAGGACCCAGCAACTGAGGGACCAGAGTGGCCCTCAGCTCTCCCGGGGGTGGGTACTTTCTCCCTGACGGAAACCTTAATCCTGTGTTCAATGCTGTGGAAAAATGATCGGTGCCAGGGCAGAGGGGGGTTACCGGGTGAGGCTCCCTGCCCTCTGTGGGCTGGACCCATCGGAGAAGGTGGCGAAAGCTATAGGTCCCTCCAGAAAAAGGCGTCAGGGGCCGCAGTGTGCTCAGCTTGGGGAGGTGGTTCATAGACTCCCGAGGTCACCCAGGGACCACTAGTTTGTCGAGGGGGGACACGGAGGCCAGCCCTGACCCGGCCCTTGGACCCAGGTGGCCTCCGTGGAGGTAGACGCCGTGCACAAGCACTACCTGACCCTCCTCTCCTACGTGGGCTGTGTCGTCTCTGCCCTGGCCTGCGTGCTCACCATCGCCGCCTACCTCTGCTCCAGGTAGGACTGGAGACGGGTGGGCAGGGGGAGGGACACCCTCCGTTCCAGGAGACCTGCCCTGGAGCTGTGCGAGGCTGTGGAGCCGGGAGGTCCCAGCCCGGGCCCTGGGCGCTGCACGTCCTCCTCGGATCTGCGGCGTCTGGAGGGCAGCACTGACCCGTTTTACTAACTGCCAGCGTCGAAAACCGGAGAACAACATAGGAACCCAGATTTCTGCCTCTGATCAGATGTGAGACCTCTAGGGCCATTATTTAGTGTGATGATAATGATGACACTAGTTAACACATGAAGCTTCCCACAGGCCACACACTTGCTCTCAGGCCTCTGTGCATCCACTTGGCTCATCCTCTCAAGGGCCCAGTGAAAGACTCACTGACCCTCCTGAGGTCACACGGCGAGGGCCAGGCAGGTGGGCTCCAGGCCCACAGGTCCCTGAGTGGCTGTGGTCGCTGGAGACGGCAGACCCTCGGGAGTTTCTGCAGCCCCCCAGTCTCTGGTGTCTGTTTTGAGGCCTGTTCCCTTGCAGCCATCTATGTTTGATGCCCCTCCCCCTGGGGGCTCTGTCACCCCAGTCATTTGGGTGTCAGGAAGAAGGAGCCCCACGGAAAGCCTTTGGTGGGGTGAGGAGCGCCTTCACGCACCCTCAGACCGGCCGTGCAGGGTCTGGATGGTCAGCGCTGGGCTTGGCCTATATTGAGTCCACCTGTAGTCAGGGCCTGCACCCCTTTGGCTGGAGGAGTACACCCTCAGTTCTGTGGAACACAGGGGTGTGCTCACTGTCCTTGGCTGGGAGGAGGGAGGGTGGAGCCGTGTGCATGCGTGTGCATAAGCGGTTGTGTTGTGTGCTCACAGCTGTGCACCTGGTGGGCTGGAGTAGTTGATGGGGAGGGACAGCTAGAAGGCTCAGTGGAGGGCTGGGGTCAGGGCCTCCCCAGCACCTACCCATTGATCACAAAAGTGCCTAAGGACACAGGGACAGGACCCCTTAGGGACCGAGCCGCTCACCTGTGCCAGACCCTTTGCGTCGGTGTAACCCTCTCCCCAGCCCTGTCGGAGGCCACCCTCCCACTCCACAGATGAGTAAACTGAGGGAGGGGCAGGGCGGGCATGGGGTTCCGGGAAGTGACCCTGGGGCCTGGGGATTCTGCTGTGCCTCTGGGACAGGCAGTGGGGGTGGGGAGAGGGGAGGAAAGGCCTGCTGAGACGGGGGCCATGGAGAATTCTGGGTGGGGGTGGGGCTGGGGTATGCACACTCAGAGTTGCAAACCTGAAGACAGACAGACTCCTGCAGCCTCTGCTCACAGGCTCACAGACACAGTTGTGTAGACAGGAGGACACAACATGGCGGGGGGGTGGATTCTCCAAGCCAACAACAAATCCAGTCTTTCCCTCCGACTTTGGGAGCATCTGGTTGGTTGTAGTGGCTGATTTCTCCGTTTTGCTGTCTGGCTAGGGCTGCTGTTAAATGCGCATACAGTGCTGAGCCCATGGTGCTGGGCACATAGTAGGTGCCCGGGGACAAGTGGGGAGCGGTCTAGCTGCAGCCATAAGAGTGTGTCTGTGTGTAGCCTGGGAAGGCTGCCTGAAGGAGGAGGAGCGGGTATCCCCCACCTTGCCCCGCTGGTCACAGGGTCCCCTTCCCCTTGTGCCCCCTCCATGCAGGAGGAAGACTCGGGATTATACCATCAAGGTGCACATGAACCTGCTGCTGGCCGTCTTCCTGCTGGATGTGAGCTTCCTGCTCAGCGAGCCGGTGGCCCTGACCGGCTCTGAGGCTGGCTGCCGGGCCAGCGCCATCTTCCTGCACTTCTCCCTGCTCGCCTGCCTCTCCTGGATGGGCCTTGAGGGCTACAACCTCTACCGACTTGTGGTCGAGGTCTTCGGCGCCTATGTCCCTGGCTACCTGCTCAAGCTGAGCACAGTGGGCTGGGGTAAGTTGGCGGAGGGTGTTCCTGGGGCCCTAGACCTGCTTCGGCTTCTGGCCAAACACGGGCACCTGTGCTTCTCCAGCGCCCCCTGATGGAGCCTCACTGCCTCCTTTACCCTACCCCACCCTCAGGAGCGCTTTACTGTGGCTGGGCCCAGGTCCCCTTCAGGAAGATGAGGCGATGAGCCCTGTCCCCGAGAAACACACATTCCCCACATCTCAGTCCTTCCAAAGGGAGGGTTGCAGACAGAGCTACAGGCACGATGTCCAGGTTGTGCCCTGCTCAAGGCGCCCAGCTGCGGGATGAGGGGCTGTAATCTAGTCTTCCACTCACCCAGTTCACCCAGGCTGGCAGTGGCCCTGAACCGCAGGTAACATTCGTGTCTCTGGCATTTGTTCTTGGCCAATGACAACCCATTCACCTACGGCCCCGACCTCTCTTACGTCAGATTTGGAGGGCCGGGGCACACACCACCAGTCCCACCAACCTCCACACATCCCTTCTCCCTTCAGCCCTTCTTGGTTCACTACATTGATTTAAATAGAATTCTTTCAGAGGTGACTCTATGTCAAGACTCAGGTGCTTGGTGGCAGGAGACCCCCTCCAGGGACAAGGTCCACCTCATGGACAAGGTCAAGACCTGGTGCAGACCTCCCCTGGGGGCAGAAGTCTGGATGTCCCCTTTGAACCTCCCCCACTCCACCATGTCCTGTTTGCTCCTCCCATTTTCCTGGAGATATCTAGCCCCTTTCTCCTCAGGGCCCCCAGGATGGTGAGGGGTAGGATAAAGTCAGGAAAGATGGGCTTTCTCGATGGAAACCCAAACTGGAGTGGGGGAGGGGAGGGGCCAAGCTTGGAGGACCTGCCCCAGATCGGACTGGGCGGCTCTGGGAGTACAGGCCCAGGAAGTTCGTGCCAGAGGGCAAGGGAGGTGAGCCCCACAGGGTGGGAGATGGAAGTCTGCGCTCTGCTGTCCACAGGCTTCCCCATCTTCCTGGTGACACTGGTGGCACTGGTGGACATTAACAACTATGGCTCTATCACCCTGTCTGTGCACAGGACTCCAGGGAGTGTCATCTATCCTTCCATGTAAGTGGCTGTGTGTGGCGGGGGCAGGAATCTGGGCCTCGGGCTGCTTCCCCTTTGTACCATCTATGTTGTTACTTGCTTATTATTTTTCTGTTAATTGTCTAATGTGTTAATTTAAATATATTTTTACAAACTATCAACTACAAAGAGGAAACAAGCGTCACTGTCAGAGACAGTGAGTAGCCCTGAATGCTAGCCAAGGTGGCGACCCCACGGACGGCTCTTTATTGAGAAAGGGGACTAGCAAGTATTAGAAGCACTAAGAACACATTAGCACCAAACCGAGCCTTTCCCTCGACTAGAGAGAAAGAATGAAGGAGGGTTGAGAAGAGAGCGACCTGTGCCCCCATGAGTCGCCGGTGTTGAAAGCAGGTGCCCTGTAGCTCCCTGTGCCAGCCCAGCCATGCACTGAGTCGCCATCCTCTGTGCCCTCAATGCCTCATCCACAGGTGCTGGATCCGGGACTCCCTGGTCAGCCACATCACCAACCTGGGCCTCTTTAGCCTGGTGTTTCTGTTCAACACGGCCATGCTGGGCACAATGGTGGTGCAGATCCTGCGGCTGCGTCCACACACCCAGAAGTGGCCCCACGTGCTGACACTGCTGGGCCTCAGCCTGGTCCTCGGCCTGCCCTGGGCCTTGGTCTTCTTCTCCTTTGCTTCCGGCACCTTCCAGCTTGTTGTCCTCTACTTCTTCAGCATCATCACCTCCTTCCAAGGTAGGCATGGGAAGACCCTACCCTTGAGCACAGGGTAGGGAAGAGATGGCCCAGGCGACCTGAAGGCACCCTTCTCTGGCCTGTTTTCCCATTGATAAAATGGGGCATCCAGGCCACGGTAATAAGTCTTTTTATTGATTTGTTTTGTTTAGAGGGAGAGAGGAAGGGTGAGAGACATAGAAACATTGATGTGAGAGAGAAACATCAATTGGCTGCCTCCCACACGCCCTGTACTGGGGATCAAGCCTGCAACCCGGGCATGTGCCCTGACCAGGAATCAAACCAGGACCTCTCAGTCCATGAGGCAACACTCAGTCCACTGAGCCACACAGGCTGGGTACAGTCAACAAGGTTTTATTGAGCACCTGCTATGGGCAGGCTCGATGCTAAGCTCTGGGGCTACAGTTGTGAACTGGTTGGGTGAGGGCCTTGCTTCTGTGGAGCTCACCTCTAGTCGGGGAGACTGAGTGGGACGAGCAAGCAGGCAGCCATCAGAGGGGATCTCGGAGGGTAGGGAGTAATAGTGGGTAATGTAATGGACAGTCTGGGCTGGGGCGAGCCACTCTTATAGGAGACATTTGAAGACAACAAAGGGATCCAGCCAGGGAGAGACCAAGGCCTTCCTTGCTCAAGTGTGAAGCAGCAGCACCAGCACAGGAGCCTGTTAGAAATGCAGACCCCAGATCTGCTGAGTCAGAACCACATGGTGACAGGTACCCAGGCGACTCAGACTCACAGGCACACTACAGGCTGGGGAGACCTGGTTTAGGAGAGGAGCACTCCAAGCAGCCGGAAAAGCAAGAGCAAATGTCCTGAGGCAAGAACCATTTGTGTGTTAGAAGAACAGTGAAGATGAGCTGGGCTAAAGGGTAGTGAGCGGGGGCAGCAGGGGAGGAAAAGGTGAGGGGGCAGGAGCAGAGCGCCTGGCTTGATGACAGAAGAGTCCCTTCCCACTCTACCTGCAGCCCTCCACTGCCCCCACATCAAACACACACGCGCACACGCGCACACGCGCGCACACGCACACGCACACCTCTGTCCTCAGAAGGAGGGAGTAGGGAGGCAGATGGGCAGGAAGACAGGGAGAGGCTGTGAGGTGGGCCATCCCCACAGGGTCCCCAGGGGACAAGCATGGGGTGAGGGTGAGGGAGACCAGCCTGTCTCACCTGTGACATGAAGGGGACTCTGTCAGGATTATAAATGCTGCCCATAAATCCACACAAACATCTACGGGCTATTAATAAATCATGGTATAACTATTTGGAGAGGAGCAATGATTAAGCAGATGGGCTCTGGAGCCCAGCCACTGCGGTTTGACTCCTGGCTCCGCCAAGTCCCCTGACCATCCTGGGCCTCGGTTTCCTCATTTGTAACACAGAATAGTATTGAATGGGCCTGACCTCATAGGAACATCAGGAGAACGAAGTGAGATGGCACCCAGTGAATTGCACAGGGCCTGGCACGTTGTAGATGACCCCGCGGTTGCATCAGTGCCAGTAGCCTGTCAAGGGGAGGACAGGGGCATCTGAGTCAAGGTGACTCTGGGAGGGAGATGTTGAGGGGGTGCTGCCTCCAGCCTGCTGAGCCCCATGTCCCTCGCTGCCCACAGGCTTCCTCATCTTCCTCTGGTACTGGTCCATGCGGCTGCAGGCCCAGGGCGGGCCCTCCCCTCTGAAGAGCAGCTCAGACAGCACCAGGCTCCCCATTAACCCGGGCAGCACGTCGTCCAGCTGCATCTAGATCGTCAGCCCGCCATCCCGTGTGAGGAAGTGGAGATGCCGCCTCTCCTCACCATTGCCTGCGGCCCCTGCAGCCGGACCTGGCTGTTGGCATGTCAGCCGGAAACTTGAGTAGACCCGAGAACCTCAGAGTTGGAACTGTCGCCATGGCGGCCTGACTCCCAGGCGGGCCTTCTGAACTGGCCTGCAGACCATGGGGCTCTCAGGTTCAGCTCCCAAGGGCCCCAGGGGTGGGACCATCCTTCTGGCCATCCTAACCTGGGGCTGAAGGCCAGCCCTAACTCACCTGCACTGGGCTCAGCCCTCGTGGCTGGGGGCTGGGAGCCCGCAGGCCCCAGAGTCAGGCTGTGGGCCTTGGAGGCCTGGCAGCGTCTTTGACCCTGTGCCCCTACCCAGGACAGAAATGCACCATGGCTACTCTGTTTTTGGTGCTCACCAGGAGGCTACTTTGCAGCCCCTGCCATTTTATCGCAAGGGTGGCATCCAGGGCAAAAGGGGTTGGACCAAGCTTCAGACCTCTGAAGGAGGACCCCCGCCCCAGCACACAGCAGCTGTCCCGCCTCTGCGCTCAGGGCTTCGTCCTCTACCAGCCTCCCCAGCCCACCCTCCGTCCCCTGTCCTCCACTCAGCTCAGAGTCCCCAGTCTAATGGTGCCCGGTGCCTGCTGTAAACCTTTATCTACTGCATGGGCCTTTGCTGGCCCTGACTCAGGCTTAGTGTATATGTTCCCGACCAGGTCCATTTGTCCATCTGGGCCTCTCTTTAAGCTGCATCGCCACTGCCAAGCCCATATCTCTCAGGGGACCTCAGCCTCCCCAAAGCCTTCTGGTGGCAAGAACTGTGGAGCATAGCAGACTACATTTGTTTCCACCCCAGCACTCTGAAGCCTGGGACATATCTCCCCTGTGACACTGGCTTAGAGCCTATCAGTTCATCCTGCTGGACACAGATGGTCAAACCTGGCCGCTCCCCCTGTGAGCTCAGTCTAGTGTGTGAGGCGTGTATGAGATGAGCTCCTGGAGCTACAGACATAGGGTCAGGGGAGCCATTCTCCAGGCTGGGACTCCTGGAAGACTTCCTGCAGGAGGCAGCATTTGATCTGAATCTCAGCCTTAACCATGGGGAGGATTTTCTTTTTGATTACTAATTCATTTGTCTTTGATGTTAAAAAGAAGTACACGTTCACTGTAGAGAGTTTGGAAACTGTAGAAGAGTGTAAAGAAGAAAATAAAAATCAGCTGTTGTCATCACCTAACAAACCGATGTAAACATTTTGGAGCTTTGCCTTCTGAGTTTTCTTCTCTGCTTGTGTTAAGAGTCACTGATTGCAAAACATGAAAGAGAGAAGAGGTCCATATGTGAAAAACAATCTACTGCAGGAGACTATCAGGACGAGGGGGGTGAATGGCAAGTCGGAGCAGTGTCGGGAGGCTCTGGGAAGCGGTGGGTCTGTGGCGCACTGGAAATGACGAACCCTCACGAGGCAGAAAAAATACTCTCCTTCCCGAGTTACGAAAGCAGTTGAGTTTTATCATTGCTATTAGTGTCCAGGCCTTGAAGGCCTCCAGGCCACCAAGGTCCACATCTGAGCTCTGTCCCCACGGTCTCCTCCCTCTGCTCCTGGCTGCCCTGGGGAGCGCAGTCCGGGAACGAGGCAGGGGTCTCTGGAATTGGAGGAGATGGGGGCAAAGCCACCTTGGCAGCCAGGGGTAGACTGGCCATGCTCCTTGATGGATCTTTGGGGACCTGCAGGGACTCTGCATGTGAAAGCCCCCGCACCCTGCCTTTCTCCCGACCCCTCCTCCACTCTTGCCTCTCGCATCAGTTTCTGCCTCCCCCTTCCTCCAGCTCCTGAGGACAGAGGCAGCTAGTAGGCTCTCCTGGAACCCTTGGTCCCTGCCAGAGGGACCCCCAGAGCCCCACCACTTGGCGAGAACTGAGGGTCACCTCCCCCACCCTCAGAGAGAAGAAGATGACCCAGCCCCCACTGTGGGAGATAGTATTCCTCTCAAACAAGTTCTCTCGAAGAATTTCAAGGACTCTCTTGACCATATAGTTTCTCTTTTTGAGGCCAGCTCAGGTGATGGGGAGGAGGGTCCCGGGTAGCATCTTCTCGTGACAGGTCCTGGACGTACCACCAGACAGCTCTGTGGCTCTCCTTGACCTCGATGGCCCTTATCGTGCACTTCACTGGACTGTGGGACTTCAGACAACAGGACCACTGTTGCCAGCAGGACAGGACTAGATGTGTGTCTGGAACTACCCCTTTGGTGTGGGAGCTGGACTGGGCAGCCGGAGGGGAGCTTCAGCCTGGGACTGTTCAGAGGATTGGAGGCCTTGCCCCTGGACATGGGAGTCCCCCCGGTGCCATTCAGACAAGCCAGGGTGGGAGGTGGCAGAAGTGGAAGCTATAATCCTGTTTGTCCTGCGATTTGAGGTTCCCAGGGCTCTGTAAGTGGCTCCAGGCTAGTCCATGAAGCCTTGGAAAGGGGGCCCTCACTCTGGCCCTATCTGACCCTCCCTTGCCACTTTTCCTGTCTTCCCAGGTGTGTGCAACACTGTGGGACACTCTGAGGGCCCAGGTGGCAGGATGGGTCTCCAGTGGTGGGCTTAGCAAGTGACAATTCACAGAGCCCTTGTCTCCTGTTGGAGATCTGGGGTGGGGAGGCCAGCGGGCTGCAGGGTGGGGCAGGCCCAGCGGTTCCCGTCTGTCCTCCCAGCCTTCCCTGCAGGGGATGTGCCTGGGGCTCATGCCAGATTCCTGCCTGCCACCCACACTCCACGAGTGACCCCGACCCTCCTCAGGCCCAGAGGACCCAGCAGGGGACTGAGTCCTGTGCAGACACTGTGTGGGAGGAAGTGGAAATACAGGCCAGTCGGGGCTGAGCAGGTCCCTGTTAGACCCCAAGCACAGCAGGTCTGGCTTTGGCCCTGTGAGCTGGAGCGGGATATGGTGACTCGCACCTTCTCGGTGGGGTTCCCTTTACCTTCTGACCTCATAGTGGCGGTGGAACCATGCCAAGGTCCCCGGCCTCATCCACAGGCTTCCTTGGGGCCACCAGAGTCGGGGACTAAGTGGCCAGCCCCTCCCTTCCTTCATGCTGCACCCCATGTGTGTTTGCTGCCCCGACTTCCTGCCTGGGCCACTGTGACCTGCTGGGCCATGAAGACAATGATTTCACAATCATAAAACCATAGTGTTGATAATGGCCACACAAACAGACTGTGAGTCCCACAGACATCATTTCATGGGATCTTATGAGAGGCTCAGGGTAACAGACAGCTAGGGAAAGCTTATCAGGCCAGGAAGTGGGCAGGACAGATGTCAGCCCAGGCCTGACCAATCCCCAGAGCCCATGCTGTTGTCCCCGCCCCCTCCTCTCCTGCCTCTCCTGCTATCTAGCCTGGTGGGAAAGGACCAGGACCCCTGGGCTGGCTCCTGCTCTTCTTCTCCCTGGCCCCCAGCAGGCATGGATTGGAGCCTGGACTTGCTCAAATCATAGGTGTGAGCAAGAGGGCATAAATACCATCCACATCTCCATCCTCATCCCTATAGCCAGGCTATCTGCCCAGCATTTATAGGTTTCCTCAAACTCTGACCTGCTCCTGGGAGGCAGCCCATTGCTGTATGCTTTACAGAGGAGGAAACAGTGGCTCCGAGAGGCCCCCAGCTTGTGAGAGGAAAGTCTGAGCTGGGTGTGCCTTACTCCAAAGCCTGTGCTCACCACCACTCCCCAGCGGTCCACTCCTGTGAGAGGCCTCTGTGGTCACCAGCCCCCAGCCCCACCGCACCCTCCCAGGCAGGGTTTGGAGGGGCATCCCTGGGTGGGTTCAGCAGCTCCTTTGGAGTTTGGCTCCCTCTGCGGGTGGTCACAGAATGGGATGAGACCAGGAGCGCTGCCCAGTTCCCCACACCTTTCACAACCCAACCGATGGCGCCATGGAGCAGGAAGGGTTACAAAGAGGCCACAGGAAGCTCTGACGCTGCAGCGGAGGGTGAGGGCAGAAGGGCCCTGCAGAGCCTGGGACCAGAGGACACACAGTCACAAGGCTCCCGCCAGTGTGGACAAGGCTGGCCAAGGATGGTGATGCCCAGGGCCCTGGGGGTCCTGCTTCTCCTGTTCCTCCTGCTCCTGGTCTCAGGTGAGCACCTGGTTCCTCATTCCCTCCTGCCCGGGAGACCCAATGACAGGGACAAGGACAAGTAAGGAGTGGGGGCATCTGGAGCCTATCCTCCGAGGAGCCCACCCTGAAGGTCTGAGCACCTTCACACTCTGCATCTCTCCCTTAGGTGCAAAAGATTCCATGAACAAATCTGAGCAGGCAACAAACCCTGAGGAGCCGAGGAAAGTCTGCCTGGGGCTCATCAATAAGGACATTTACAAACCCTTTGAACTTGAGAACACTGCTCAGTGCTTCACAAAGTGCGGGCAGTTGAGCAGTGAATCCTGTGATCTGGGAAACTTGAGGAGGTAACAAGGCGCTCTGAGCTGGAGCAGGACTTTGGGGTTCCTGCAGGGGTGGGGAGGAGGGAAGGAATGGAGCTATCAGCCCCCATGACCCCAGATGCTGCTCTCATCTTGCCCCTCCACCTGGTTGTTTGACACGTACATTCTCCCTGATCCCGGGACTCTGATTCAGTGAATACAAAGATAAATCAGCCCCTGTCCTGGCCACTGGGAATTGTGGAAGGGCCAACACAGGACCAAATGATAGTGACTCTAGAGTGTGGTTATACAGAATGGGGGACAAGGTACCAAGTTAGCTCAAAGGAAAAAAAGTCTGCCAAGTCTTCACAGAGGAGGGAACTCATGAAAGGACTTTGAAGGTTGCATAGGAGTTTTCCAGTTGGACCCAAACAATGTTAGGAGATACAGGCAACAGAACTTCAGAGAGTATTGAGAAAGAAATGTAGTGCATGAACTGTGAGAGAGTAAAGTGCTGGGGATGGAAGCAACAATGCGGAGGTGGGATCGGTGGTGGACAGAACTGAAAATATAAGTAGGGACCAAAGTATGAAGGGTTGTGTAACCTACACCAATGCAGCAGGGAGTGGGGCAATGCTATATTTTAAATAGAAGAAGAGCATAGTCAATTTGCATTTTAGAAAGATCGCTCAGGCTCCGGAGAAGAACATAAGGGTGGTAATGCAGGATGAGATATGACCAGGTAGGATGGGAGTGTGCTAGTCTGGGTAAGAGTGAGGGATGGACCACCAGCAGCACCACCACCATCAATTGGCATTGAGCAGCTAGAGAGGAGGGATGGACTAGAGAAACTGTATGATGTAGAATCAATAAGACCAAGAGATATTGGACTGAGGGAGAGGAAAGGGCTTAGAATAAAATATCTCCAAAAGTCATCTCCAAAAACATCTTTGCCTCTGTTCCCTCCACTTCCTTCCACCCAAAGTTGCCCATAAATCTTCTGGGATACTCAGGATAGAGTCATAGTTGTTACTCAACACATAGTTGTTGAAAAAGTGCACGAAAAGCCTGTATTCTTAGGTTGGGTGTTAGGACAGTAATCTGATTGAGCTACATCATTGCAGTGGCCTGAAAATGATCCCATCCTCACCTGTAGCTTCTTAGCTCCAAGAAGCTATTCTCTGTGCTACCTTATAGTGGGATCAGCACTTTGAAAAAAGCAGGGTCTCTGGGATCAGAGGATGTGGATTGTTTCTAGCTTTATCACTTCACAGAGTTACCTCTTTTATCATCACAATCCTATTAAGTTAGGTTCTGTTATCAGCCCATTTTTCAGATAAGAAAAGTAAGGCTCCAAAAGGTCAAATAGCTTGGCCATAGTTACTTAGCAGGCAAGTGGCAAAGTCGAACATGAGCCTAGGTCTGGAAGGCATCCGTGGGGAAGGTGTAGTGGCACAGACTGGGCTCAGACTGCCAGTGCTCAAAAGTGGCATTAAACTTTGGGCAGTTACCTTTCACTTTCCTCATCTGTCCACTGGGGCTAAAATAACACCTAACTTGTAGAATTATTGCAAGCACTAAATACATAATTCAGACATGTTAGCTATTATCATTATCTCATTATCAGTGCTGTCATTTTACTACTATTCCAAAACCTTTGCTTTCTTTTTTTAATCCTCACCCAAGGATATTTTTTCATTGATTTTTAGATAGAGTGAGAGAGAGGAAGGGAGAGAGAGAGAGAGAAACATGGATGTGAGAGAGACACAGAAATTGGTTGCCTCCTGCATGACCCCAACAGGGGTCAGGAATTGAACCTGTGACCGTGGTATGTGCCCATGAGTGGGAATTGAACCCAAGACTCTTCAGTCCTCCAGCTGATGCTCTAACCACTGGGCAAAACCAGCCAGAGTCAAAGCCTTTGTTCTTGATCTCGTTTCTATACTTATCTCATGGTGTTGTTGAGATTAAATGAGATAATACATGTAGGTCTTATTAACAAATAGTAAGATCTCAATAAATTTGAGTGTTCTTTATTTTAATAACTTTTTCTGATTATAAAAGTAATACATATTCATTAGAAAATATTTGGAAAACAGCTATAGAAAGGAGAATGAAAAATTTCCCTTCTTACTCTTCAGAGGTAACAATTATTTTCATTTTGGTGTATTTCATTTTATTATTTTATAATATATATAACATGTAAACCACAACTCATTAATCCATTTGATGTTGATGGATATTTGGGTGGTCTCCAGTTTCTGCCAGTGCTCAAAAGTGGCATTAAACTTTGGGCATTAAAATAGTAGGGCTGTGCATGTTCTTATGAATGTATTTCGGTGAACATGACTTGCTGTAAGGTGTATTTCTAGGAGTGGAATTGGTGAGTCACAGGGTACACATGTGATTAGCTTCAGTAGAAACCGACAGTTTTCCAATTTCACCCCGACTATCCATATATAGTTAGTTCTAGTTGCTTCATATTCTTGCAACACTTGGTATTGTCTACTTTTCATTTTAGCAATTCTGGCAGGTTTGTGCTATAACATAGAGTGAGTTTCATTACATTTCCCTGATGACTGTTGAGGTTTAACACCTTTTGTACATTTATTAGACATTTTGATGACCTCTTTGTGAAGTGCCCTTTTAAGTCTTTTGATTGTTGTTCTATGGGGTTGTCTGAACGGTTCTTTAGTGAGTTTTATGGGTTCTTTATATGTTCTGGATACATGTCTTAGCAAATATATAAGCGTGAATATATTCTCCTGAGAGGTGCCTTTTCATTCTCTTAGTGCTAGGTGTTTTTTTTTAATCCTCACTCGAGGACATTTTTTGCATTTATCTTCAGATAGAGTGGGAAGGAGAGAAAGGGGAAGAGAGAGAGAGAGAAACATTGATGTGAGAGAGACACATTGAGTGGTTGCCACCCACATGACCCCAGCTGGGGCCGGGGACAAACTGCAACCAAGGTACATGCCCTTAGCGGGAACTGAACCTGGGACTCCCCGGTCCGACGCTCTAACCACTGAACAAAACTGGCCAGGGCTTTTTGTGCTAGCTTTTGACTAAGGACAGACATTCTGAATACAGTGCAAAATATCATAATTTTACTTTATGGTTAATGCTTTGGGGGCTTGTAATGAAATATTAGCCTACCCCAAGATAATGAATATAGTCGTCTCTGTTTTCTTCTCAAAGCTTTATTGCTTTTGCATTCACCTTGATCTACCATCCACTAAGAGAAAGTAAAAGATGGTGAACAACTCTGCTCTGCTTTCCAGAGTGTTCAACCTAGCCAGTGCCTCTCAGACTACGCAATTTAGTATTCGGAAAGCTATCTGGAGGAGAACTCAGCTGTACATTTGACGCCTTTCCCAGGACCACCACCACTAAGACCACCAAATACCCTGCATAGTTTATAAAGTGCCCTGTGCCCATTTGCAATTCATCCCTCCTCCTGTACCCAGCCACAATCAACCACTGGCCTGCTTTCTACTCTATAGATTTGCCTTTTCTGGGCATTTCATCTAAAAGAACCATATAATAAGTTGTCTTTTGAGTTTGTCTTCCTTAATTTGTCATAATGGTTTTTTAAAAATTTTTATTCATATTTTAGCTTGTGTCAATAGTTTCTTTCTTTTCATTATTGAGAAATATTCCACCAGATGAATATATACTACATTTTGTTTATTCATTTACCAATTGGTGGACATTTGGGTGGTTTCCAGTTTGGGGATATTATGAATAAGTCTGCCATGAACATTTGAATTCAAGTCTTTCATTTCTGTTCTTTTAAACATTTTTTCTTTATTTATTTTAGAGAGAGGAAGGGAGAGGGAGAGAGATAGAAACACTGATGAGAGAGAACCTTGATGGGCCACCTCCTATAAGCCCCTTGCAGGGGCTTAGGCCCATGACCTGGGCATGTGACCTCTTGGTACCTGGGTCCACGCTCCACCCCTGAGCCCCACCAGCCAGGCCAAGTCTTTCATTTCTTTGGGGTAGATACCTGGGAATGGCATTGCTGGGATACATGGCGAAGATGTGTTTAGCTTTATGAACAACTGCCCCGCTGCTTCTCAAAGCGGCTGTAGCATTTGTCGTCTCACTGGCGGTGTAAGAGCTGTGGCTGCAACGCAGCCTCGCGGCACTAGCAGGCTTTTCGCTTATACCCAGTGGGTGTGCAGTGCGTTCTCGCTGTGGCTTTAATTTGCTTTTCACAAATGGCTAATGATGTTGAGCATCTTTTCATATATATATATATATATATATATATATGTTGTTAATTATTATATATGTTGTTAATCCTCCTCACCCAAGGATATTTTTTCCATTGATATTTTAGAGTGGAAGGGGGGGGGGAGAGAGAGAGAGAGAGAGAGAGAGAGAGAGAAACATTGATGTGAGAGAGACACATTGATTGGCTGCCTGCCTCAGGGTCAGGGATAAAACCTGCAACCCAGGAACATGCCCTTGACTGGGAATTGAACTGGTGACCCTTCGTGCTGCAGGCCAGTGCCCTAACTGCTGAGCCAAAATGGCCAGGGCCATTTGTATATATATATATTTTTTGGTGCAATAACTATTCAAATCTTTTCCTCCTTTAAAAAAAATGGGTTGTTTTCTTGTTATTGAGTTTTAAGAATTCCATATATATTCAGGGTACAAGTTATTTTTATCAGATGTATGATTTGCAAATATATTCTCCCAATGTATGTATGTCTTTTTATTTTCCTAATAGTATCTTTTGAAGATCAAAACATTTAATTTTGATAAAGTCAAATTTAAATTTATGTGTTTATTTGCTATCATATCAAGGACATTTTATCTAGCCCAAGGTTACAAAGATTTTCTCCTAAGATTTCTTCTACAAGTATATGGTTTTGGCTCTTACAATTAGGTTATGCATTTGGAATCAATTTTTGTGCACAATGTGAGATAAATGTCTAACTTTCTATTGTTATTACTACTACTACTTTCACATCTGGATATCTAATTGTTTTTGCACTATGTATTGAAAAGACTATGCTTGCTCCATTGTCTGCCTTTGGGAGGCATTCCATTAAAGAGCTAAGTGGAAGCTCCTGGAATGTCTTCTCCCAAGATAGTAAACCAGCAACTGAACTACATCCCTGCAGAGATTATGCCACTATGAAAGATTTGAAAGAAGCAGGGGTGGTGGTACCTATCCCAACTCCGTCTAACTCACCAGAAGTCAGGTGGGTCTTAGAGAATGACTGTGGACCATCACGAACTTAATCACATGATGAGTCCAGTTGCAGCTGTTGTCCAGATGAATATGTTTACATGAATAAAGCAGCACAGTCCCTGGTAACTGGTATGCAGCTATTACATGGCTAAGACTTTTTTCTCCATACCAGTTTTCAAGGACTGCCAGAGCAATTTATTTTTATGTGGCAGAGCCAACAGTATTCTGCCACAGTGTTTCTCTGGGGCTGTGTCAATTCTCCTTGTGGCTGTCATCATATAATTCACAGAGAAATTATTAATCTTGACATTATACAAAACATCACTTGTCCACTATATTGACAGCATTATGCTGATTAGATTTGATGAGCAGAAAGTGGCAAGTACCTAAGATGCCTTAGGAAGACACATGTGAACTAGAGGATGGGAGATAAACCTCACAAGAAATCAGGGGCCCATCACCTCACTAAATTTACTGAGCATTCAGATGTCTGGAGAATGACAAGATATCCCCTCCAAGGTAAAAGACAAGTTGTTGAAAGTCACACCACTTACCATGAAGAAAAAAAAAAAAAGACAAAACAAAAACAAGCACAATGTGGAAAGATATGTATTAGGCAACATGAGACAAAAGAAATCTGAGTAGGTATATTAACATCAGACAAAGAAAATGATGCTTATATTGGTATATCTATGCTTTAGACTTTTTGAAAATGTTATATTTCACAACTAAAATAATTTTAAAAAAATGCTCTGAGAATTAGATGAGAAAAATCTTTTATTGAGAAAGTAAATTGAGCTGTTTTATGAGGTCAAATGATTTTTTAAATGCATAAGGTGAAATACACACACACACACACACACACACACACACACACTCAACCAATGTAGTTCAATCAATGGTTTTGAGCAAACTCGCCCCACTGTTTCTGGCTTGATGGTATTCTAATTGTCTGCTCCACCCAAGCACATTTGCACATATTTGCATGGCTTACTTTTTATATTACACAGTATTTTTTCTGTGGTTTCGTTGAGGGTTTTTTCTTGGTAACTGTGAGTGTTCAAAAATGATGTCAAAATAAAAGCCTCCTTTTGTCTCCCAGCCAAGTCCTCCATAGCTACTCCTTTCCAACAGCCTTGATCTGGCTGTATCTGCTTTTCCCACCCCCATTCCTTCCCATTGCTATCTCAAGCCTAACCTGGGCAGCAGATTTTAGGACCCCAGGTTTAGGAAAACAGACCCTGGCGGTCAGTGATGTTTCAGTACCACGGAGAGCGCTGCAGGATTGCTTCCCTCTGCTATTTCAGCTGAGGCAAGGGGGCCGTGGTAAAATAAATGCCAATTAACTCCTGTGTTCTGTGTGCTGGGACAACAGCTCAGTTCCCATAAGTCAGTTTCCATGCAGCCCAGTCTCCAAAGACTGAAGTCCCAGAATGCAGTTAGTAGTCAATAAATGTGATGAGGTGCTCACTCATGCCAGGCAATTATCATCCCACAGTTTAAAATACTCAGAGGAATTTCTCCAAAGAAGATATACAAAGACCAACAAGCATATAAAAAGATGCTCAACATCATTACACATTAGGGAAATGAAATTAAAACTACAATGAATACCACTTTATACCCACTAGGATGGCTACAATTAAAAACAAAACAAAAAAATAAGTATTGGTCACTATATGAAGAAATTGGAATACATTGTTGGTGGGAATTTAAAACTGTGCAGCTGCTGTGGAAAACAGCTTGAAAATTCCTCAAGAAGTTAAACATAGTATTACCATATGACCCAGCAATTTTACTTCTAGGTATGTACCCAAAGAGTTCAAAACAAGTCTTCAAATAAAAGCTTGTATGTGAATGTTCATAGCAGCCCTATTTGCAATAGCCCAAACATGGAAACAACTCAAATGTTCATCAACAGATGAATAGAAAAACAAAATGTGATAGAACCATACAATGGAATATTATTCATCCACAAAAAAGAATGAAATACTTATACATGCTACAACATAGATTGAACCTTGAAAACATTATGCTGCGTAAAACAAGCCAGGCACAGAAGATCAGATGCCATATAATTAATTCCATTTATATAAAATATCCAGAATAGGCACATTTAAAGAGACAGAAGACAGATTAGTTATTGCCAGTCGCTAGGGGAGGAGGGTAGGGAGTGACTGCTTAATGGGTTCAGGGTTTCCTTTTGGGGTAATAAAGTGTACATTTTAAAGTGGTTAAAATGATAAATTTTATATTGTATGGATTTTATCACAAAAAGACAAACACATGAAATACTCAGAGGGACTGCTGGCTAGAATCCCTTGGGACAAGCTTAGATTGTTCCCACTCCACCCCACTTCTCCTTGGTGCTCCCAAAGTCTTTCCATTGCTATTCTGGGTCACCCCTCCTACCCCAAGAACCTGGTGAGCATTGCCCATGGTCTCTCTCCTCCTTTCATCCAGGTTGGGGACCAGGTGAGTGGGTAACTCAGATGCAAGTTCCTACATTGCCCCTGACTCCTGGCCCCTTGCAGATACTGGCTGGACTACGAGACCTATATGGTGGAGAAGAGTCTGATGAACACAGTGAATTTGTCTTTTTTGAAGACTTTTGTCAAGAACGTCAGCACCAACATCTCAGAAGACCTGCACTTCTCTCTGAGTCCCTCTCAGGTGAAGAGTCCCCTGTCCCTGTTGGCTGGCTCTAGCCTGTTTTCCTCAGGCAAGATCCTGGTAACAGATAATCCAGGTTTCTAGGCTTAGATGTTTGGAAGGTCACTGAACTGAGCGCGAGGAGACTGAGTTCAATGCTTGATGTCCCACCCTCACGAGAGCGGAAATCCCTGGCATCCTCATCTGTAAAATGAGCTCTATGGCTCCTCCAGAGTATGACATTCCCATGAGCTCCTCTGCCCAGGGGCACATTTGACACCAGTAAAGCCACACTTAGTGCTCGTGCCAAAGGCTTAACGGGGCAGTCTCTGAATTTACATTATTCTGGATTCAAATCCCAGCTCTGCCCTTTACTAGCTATTGTGACCTTGGGCAAATCCTTTAACTTATCTTAGCCTCAGTTTTCCCACCTGTAAAGTGATGGTAGTATTGCCCAATTTCAAGGGGGAGCAAATGAGATAATTCATAAGGAATGCTTGGCACGGTGAGGGTGCAGCCTCCTTAAAGGGATGAAGTCACAGGAAGGTCAGGCTGCAGGCAAGAGGAACTTTCAGGTATGTCTGGAGAAGGGGAGATGAAGGATGGATATGGCTTTGCTCAACCCTTTATTATGTCATACAATTGGCTGAGCCCAGGAATCGCCTCCATGTCCTTTTGACAATGGTCCAGACCAGGAAGGAGAAAGCCAGAACCTCAGCTTCAAACCTTAGCTCCCCTGTCCCTCTGCCCAGGGGATGCTTGGGAGGCAGGACCAGGCGGGATGAGGCTGCAGCTCCAGGGGAACAGCGAGGTCAGAGAATGAACAAGACATACTTGGCAGCTCCCAGTGACAGTTATTTCAATATTATCAGCATTCTTAGCTTTTACACAATTCGTTTTCTGGGAGCAGGGGTGGAAATCACATTCAGTGTGACCTCTTGTAGCCTCTACCTCTGCCCTCATTACCTCCCTTCCTGGTGGCCTAATTCTTTCCACTTACTTTTTTAAAACTAGTGAATATTAATTAATTTGTTTTTTAACTCTCACCTGAGAATATTTTTCCATTGATTTTTAGAGAGACTGGAAGGGAAGGAGGGAGAAAGAGAGAGAGAGAGAAGCAGAAGCATCTATATGAGAGAGACACATGGATTGGTTGCCTCCTGCACATGCCCTGACCAGGGCCAGGGATCTAACCTGCAACCCAAGTACATACCCTTGAATGGAAATCAATCCATGACCTTTTGGTGTGTGGGCCAATGCTCTAACCACTGAGAAGTCCTGCCCAGGGCTCTTGCCACTGATTCCCAAGTCAGAAGCCAGACACTATCACCACAACGCCCTGTGGAGCCACAAGGGTTGTCGAGACCCTGGCCACAAGTGCACCACAGCTGACCCTTCACACTTGCAAGCTGAGCTCATCCAGGGGTCATCTTGTCATAGCCCACTTTCAGCCTCACAGGTGGCCAAGCAGGCACCTTGTCACCTCCATTCTCCACGGGAAAACAGGCTCCGTGAGTGCTGTGACTTGTCCAGGGGCTCACAGCCTGGACAGAGCAGAGCTTGGGCTGTGCCCTCAGATGTCCTGCCTCTCAGAGCTAAGGTCCTCAGGTGCTGCCCCTCCACCCAGTGTGCCTCAGTTTCCCTTCTCCACAGGGGAGTGGCAGTACCTGTGTTGGGGACTGGAATCCTTGGGTCTGTGGTTACAGATTCCAGGGCAGGTGACAGAGGACAAGCCCAGGTTTCCAGACAGAGTCCGGCTGCCCAGGAGCCTGTTTGCATCCCTGCAGGGCAGCAGGTCGGCGGTCCGCTTGGCCATATCTGTCCTGAACATCAGCACAGGGGACATCTTCAAGGTGAGAAGAAGCTGGATGTTGGCTCAGGGCAGCTCTGAGGTTCAGTAGGCAATGCTTGCGCTCTGTAGAGTCTTTCCCGAGGAACCCAGTGGCGATGGAGGAGGAGATGAGCCTCTGGAGTTTCTCTAGCAGCCCCCGGTCATCCCAGGCCCCAGTCTCTAGAATCTGTGGACTTCAGACTTACACTGGTCACACACTGTCAGATGTTCGGACCCCACACACCAGTGCCCTTGGACTTGTATGTATATCCCAAGTGTGCCTTGTGAGTCCCTGTGCATGCGCAAATATGCATATCCTTTTCTGTTCCTGGTGCATACAGTCCACATGAGCAAGTGTACCCATGCCCTTGCAGATGTGGTCCATGTGTCTCCCCACAGGCATGTATCTGTTCACATGCAGACACGTGTATGCCTGAGTGCTGGTGTGGCCAAGTGCTCACCCCCATAGGCACCCACTGCCCTCCATTCTGGGCTGATTTTTCTTCTGGCCCTGTTGCTCTCCAGTTAAGAGAATAGGGGAGCTCTGGAGGCCAGCGATGGAGAGCTGTTGGGTGCCTGGCTTTGTGACCAGTTTGCCTGGAGTGTAGGGTCCACCCTGGCCCAGCCCGAGCAGGAGACAGCAGGGAAGATGTCACCCATGACCCTTGGTCCTCTGGCCCTCTGGTCTCAGACTTTACCCTCCAGGCAAGGACCACAGGTCCTGGAGGCTCCCAGCAGCCCCTGCCACGGTTGAGCTGGGACAGCCCTTTCTGCAGCCTGGCCTCCCCCATCTCCCTCCATAGGGCCCCCAGCTCAGCCTGGAGGACGACAGCAGTGTGTTGAACAATCGCCTGGTGGGCGTGAGTTTGGGCCGTATGCGTGTCACAGGGCTGGCAGAGCCTTTGGAGATCACTTTCTCCCACCAGCGTCAGCCTCCTGTGAGTTACCCACCCAGGCTGGCGGTTACTCAGGGGCAGACAGGTGGGTGGGCAGCCCTGGCACATGGGCAAACAGGCTCAGGGCTCTGCACTGTCTACCCTCCACATCCACCCAGGAGAAGCTATTAGGGCCGTAGACACAATTTTGCCCAGGGACTCATGCCCACTCTGTGCACATATGCCCACATGCCCTCCGGAACCCTCCTGCATGCTCACAGAGGTGCACACAGGACCTGGCACACCTACTTGCATGCACTTGACATTACACACCCACTGACAGACATGAAACCCTTTTACCCACAGCCCATCACTATACCCACGCCCCTCACACCCCAATCCAGGAGCCATCAAATGGTACTATTGATGTTCCCGTGTAACCACGGGGTGAGCCTTTCTTCCTACCTGATGCACACACACACCTAGACAAGGGAGCATGCTGTCTTCTCCCTTTCCCCGCCCACCCTCTTTTCTCCCCACTTCCAACCTCCCCTGCCTCTCCTCTGACTGCCATTCTCTGGTTTCAGAACATGACCCTCACCTGCGTATTCTGGGATGAGACTAAAGGTAGGGCCTGGAGGACCTTCTCTGAAAGACAGGTAGGGAGGGGATGGGCTCCTTAGGGGTGCAGGGCTCCACCCGCCGGGCCCCTCCCCCTCCTCCTCACTCTTCATTCACCTCTTCTCCTCTGCGGTCCCTCTTCTTCTTTTTTCCCTCCACTCCCTCCCCTCCTCTCCTCCCCAGGGTCAGCAGGAGACTGGTCTTCCAAGGGCTGCTCAACAGAGCTCGGAGTCAAGGGCACTGTCTGCCGCTGTGACCACCTGACCTTCTTTGCCTTGCTGCTGGTAACAGCCCACCCGCCCTGATCCCAGCGGTTCTGGAGGTGCCCAGACTCCTGCCCGGGGAGGGGCTTCCTGACAGGGGCCAGGGCCTTTGCAGGCAGGTGGGCCTGCCCTCCAGCTGATGGGGTTCTGGTTGGGGGTGTTGCCCACAGAGGCCGATCTTGGACAAGGTCACCGTGCAGGCCCTCACACGAATTTCCCAGGTTGGCTGCGGAGCCTCCATGACGTTTCTGGCCTTCACCATTGTCTTCTATGCTGCCCTGAGGTGGGTCCCCCTCCCCACTCCCTCCCGTCTTCAAAGGCAGTGGTGGTGCAGGGTCAAAGGCACCCTGGTTTTGCAAAATTATACTCATATCCTCTCTAAACCTTAGTTTTCTCATCTATAGGGGTTGGAGGTTGAAATGTGTTGGGGCCATTTCAGCTACAAGTGGTAGGCAGTCAGCTCAAATGGACTTAAACATAATAAAGAATGTGTGGGTCATATAACTGAAAAGCCCAAGGTGCGCTCACTTCAGGTGCTGTTGGATCCAGGACCCGTCCCTGTCCCCGGGAGTTGGTCTCCCTCTGCTTCTCATAGCTTTGCTCTCTCCTCTTTCAGTCGTGCCAGGAGCTTCTCCACGCACGGGCCCCTGGGAGCCCCAGGCTTGCATCGGTTTCTTAGCTGCCTAGACAACTTATATCCTAAACTGAGTCCCAGAATTGAAGTCTCTAAAATATTTTTAAAATAACTAAACTAATAGGAAGTGGCAAAAATAGTACATCGAGTCCCATGCGTTCTTCATCCAGCCTTCCTTCAAGGTATTTTCTGTAACTCTAGTACAATTTCAAAACCAGAAGATTGACATTGGCACAGTGTCACTAACATACAGACCTCAATGAGTTTTCACCATTTTTTCCGAGTGTGTGTGTTCTGTGCAGTTTGATCCCGTGTATACAGAGTCGAGTTTTTCTGATCTAACCGGGCCAGTGCCCATGACTGCACAAGTCACTGTGGCCAAGGTACAGACTACACTGGTTGTGCCTGCTCTTGGGTTTGAGCTAACAAAGCGCCAGCTCCACCCAACCTCGTGGCAGAGAGTGGGAAAGGGTGCTCCTCGGGGAAACCTGGGGCTGCTTCTGGAAAAAGGAGGGGGACAGGGCGGGCAGAAACAACAGAGACTGCTGCAGCCTGTGCCCAGGCCCTCCTGGGCCCAGGCCATGGCTGATGGGCCCACAGGACCTGCCGGCTTGAAGGAGCCTGGGGTAGCAGCCCCAAGCCCCAGCCTGTCCCATCCCCTGGCCACCTGACCCATGACTGTCCTGGACCCATGACAGACTGGGGCCCTCCCACTGTCCTCTCCATGTGCCTCTTGGCCTCTGTCACCATTTGGCCCTGGGCTGCAGCCCCCACTGGCTCCACCCACTCCATCTCAGACCCAACCATGAGTGTGAGTGGTGCCACCCCTGCAGCCATCCCCCAAGCCCCTGGGACAGCACCCCACCCCCAACAAGCTGAGTGTGACTTGCCAGCTGTCTGCACTGTTGGACTCTGTGAGCCAGCTTGGAGCACCAAGGAATTGCTCAGCTCCCAAGGGTGATACCTGGCACCTTAGGTAGGGCAGACATTACCCCTCTTGCCCCCTACAAGCAGCTCCGGGCACCCATCTCTAGCATGAGAGCGCTCTAGGATCTAGTTTGATAAGAATTCAGAGTGGAGGCTCCACAGAGAGGGAGGTGACCTTGGGAAAAAGCACTGGACCAGGAGCCTGGAGCCCTTGCTCTGCTCTGTGACTGGAGAGTCCCTGTCCCTCTCGGAGCTTCACCCTGCCTGCTGCACCCTAGGCCTCATGCATCCGTGCCAGCTGTCCACTCACCCAGCCAGAGCATCCAGAGCCTGCGCTTGTCTCCGGTGCTAGGCCCAAGGTCACAGCGCTGGGAGAGACAGTGACAAGGGGAAGGTAAACAGCCTGGGATAGGGGTGTTCAGAGAAAGTCTCCCAGTAGGAAGCACCCAAGGAGAGTTTTGAAGACAGAGTAGGGAAAGAGATTGAGAGTGAAGGGAAGAGCATGGGCAAAGTCTGGGAGGTATGGAAAAGCAGAATGCATTCAGGGAATTGCAAGTTTTCAGTTTGACTAAAGCATCGTGTGGAGGGACGAGACCAGCAGGATCTGGGGGGCCGTGAGAAGGCCCCTGGTCCGGAACCTGAAGGGGCTCACTCTGGCTGTGGCAGGGGAGGGCAGAGGAGGTGGGGGCCCATGATGCTGCGGCCTCTTGCAGCCTCTCACTGGCCCTTCTCTCCCTAGGTTCTCCTGGAAGAAGTTCCAGTCAGAAGATTCTCCCAAGATCCACGTGGCCCTGAGCATTAGCTTGTTTCTCCTGAATCTAACCTTCTTCATCAACGTGGGGCATGGCCCACAGGAGTCTGATGTTGCCTGCTGGGTCCGGGGGGCCGTCTTTCACTACTTCCTGCTCTGTGTCTTCACCTGGATGGTCCTGGAAGCCTTCCACCTCTACCTGCTTGTCATCAGGGTCTTCAACATCTACTTCGGGCACTACTTCCTGAAGCTGAGCCTCGTGGGCTGGGGTAGGTGTCACCTGGCTGGGCGGAGGGGATGGCTGGCCGTGAAGGGCAGGGAGGGGAGCGGCCTCTCTCAGACACGCTCAGGTTTGAGGGACGGGCAGCTGGGGTGGGGTTCAGAGGAGGATATGGCACAGGAGTCCCAGCAGTGCCATGCCTCTTTCCCCCACCCAGGCTTGCCAGCCCTAATAGTCATCGGCACCGGCAGTGCCAACAGCTATGGCCTCTATACCATCCGAGACGAGGAGAACAGGACCACACTGGAGCTGTGAGTGGGGACTGTGGGAGCAGGAGTGGCATCAGGTCCCTGGCAGCACATAAGGAAGCCAGAGGGAGGTGGGGAGAGGAGGGAACCCTGGGAGGAGAGACCGAGTAAGTCAAAGCAAAGGATCCTCAGATACACAGTGGTAAACTGAGGCCCAGAGAGAGGAATTGCAATGAGTGAGGGGTCCTGAGTAGGAGAGTGAACTCGCCCAGAAGGCAGGATGCCTTGCTCTAGCCTGGCTTACCACCAGCCCATATGGCACTTTAGGACACATTTTAAAAAGTGCCCCCACTCCAACCTGCCATGCCAAGCACTCAGCTGGATTCGCAGCCCCCACCTGCCCCTCAATCAAGTACCCTTGTCCAGGGTATGACTGGCCCAAGCATCCCCAGCAGCCCTGGTCCTATCTAGGCTTTGCCTCTGAGTTGCTGTGTGACTTTGGGCAAAGCCTGTCTTCTCCCTGGGCCTCAGTCTCCTCACCTGTACAATGGGGAGGGGCTAATAGACATGTTCTTTTGGGTCTTTCACCCCTGCAGTGCTGGGAGTCGTGGGGCAGAGCTGAGCCCCTCCCAGGACGTCGGTCTTGGGCTCTGTGCTAAGAGGGGCTGCTCATGTCCCCTGGCTTCAAAAGCAGGGGCCACAGGGTTCCAGTAGGTGGTAACGTAAGTGCATGTGGTGGCCTGGGTGGGGCTGCAGTAGACTGGTAGTCACACACCCATGTAATGGGCAGCTGCAGCAGAAATCTGCATGTTTATGCTAAACCTCCTACTTTTTTTTTTTTTTATCTTTACCCTAGGACTTTTTTTGCATTTATCTTCAGATAGAGCGGGAAAGAGGGAGGAAGAGAGAGAGAGAATCATCGATGTGAGAGAGACACATTGACTGGCTGCCACCCACACGACCCCAACCGGGGCCGGGGACAAACTGCAACTGAGGTACGTGCCCTTAGCGGGAACCGAACCCAGGTCTCTCTGGTTCGTGGGCTGATGCTCCAACCGCTGAGCCAAACTAGCCAGGGCTAAGCCTTCTACTTTTTGAAGGATGGTCATTAATTTGATTTTTTTTTTAACAACATAATGTGGGGTGAACAAAACAGGTCTTTGGGGCCAAATTGACGCTTTTGCACCCACTGGTCTAAAGAGACAGCAGACCAGAGAGCAGGGGATTGATGGATGGAGGCAGGGAAAGGCATCTTCTTGGCCACGGAAGGTCAGTCAGGGAAAGACTGCCCAACGCTTGCTGGTCAAGGGGTACCTGCCCAGTCCCAATGGCCATCCACCTCCACAGGTGCTGGTTCCATGAGAAAACTGCCGTCTCTGCCCTCTACGTCACCGTCCATGGCTACTTCCTCGTCACCTTCCTCTTCAGCGCTGTGGTCCTGGGTCTGGTGGCCTGGAAGATCTTCACTCTGCCCAGTGCCATGGCAGGCAAGGAACGGCGGCAGAACTGGAAGAAGGTCCTCACCTTGCTGGGTCTCTCGAGCCTGGTGGGCATGACGTGGGGGCTGGCCATCCTCACGCCCCTGGGCTTGTCCACCATCTATATCTTTGCAGTGCTCAACTCCTTCCAAGGTGAGGCTCCTGGCGAGGGAGGTGGTGGGCTGCCTCGTCTGCACCAGGGGGTGTTGGGGGTTGGGGAGGGAGTGGTTTGCGAGAAACAGGCTTCTTCAGGGACCTGCTCAAATCAAGGGTACTACTTGTAAATATCCAGGGCTCTCCCAAGAGCCCAAGGCAGGAAGGCTGGCTGACCTCCGGGAGCTGCTGCCGCCTCAGGAAAGCTGCCCAAAGCAAAGCCGATACTTTCTCCATCCTTTTCTCTGGAGCTGCATGTAGCTCTCACCTTCTCTCCTCCCTTCTTCTCTCCGCTAGTCCATTCCTACCCATGCCCCCCAAATGCTGCCCAGTATGGTCAGCGCATCCCTAGATGACCTTCCAAGTCTAGAGACTACAGTCTGATTCAGTCTTTTTCAGTTCTTAGGAGAGTCAAGGATCTGATTTAGCCATCTTAGTCAGCTGTCCATCTCCGGTCCAACCAGGACCGGAAGGCAGGGTCGTATGGTGTGAGGGCCACATGGCATGGACAGAGTCTCTAAGGAGCTGTGGAGGCAGGAAAGAAGTGATTAGTGGAGGAAATGATTGACACATTTGCTCCCTACCCCCATGGGGTCCTTCCTCTGATATCCCAGCAAAGGGGCAGGCACCCAGGGCGGGGGTCAAGGTTTCCCTGTGTGCACCTGTCCTCCTTGGTGCCTACCTCTCCGTTTCATGCACACAGAAGCCTCGCAGCCTGTCTGTGAGAGAAACACCCTTACCCACGATTTGGTTCACAGTCTCATCCTGTCCAGGGGAGTCCCTGAGAACCCACATGTCCTGGATCCAGCAGGTGCAAGCCCACAGAAACAGGGCTGGCTCCCATTGCCTCATGAAACTGTGCAGCATCACTCTTGTGAGCACTGGGGACAGGCAGACCTGGATTCAAATCCTGGCTGCACTCACAACGCTAGCAAGTCACTCAGCTCCTCGTATCTAGCCATCTGTACAGTTGGGATAATCCCACCCTTACCTCATCAGATTTCATGATGAATGACAGATAATGCCCAGGGAACACAGGAGGCCTTCAGAGGAAAGAGTCTTAACAGCAGAAGTCATTGTTATTAGGCTGTCTGTGCTGATCCCCAGATGAAGACATGAGAGCCTCTGGAAAATCCCGAGGTTCAAGGTTGGAGAGAGAGGCGCCTTGCAGCTGGCGGTTATATCATTATTCTTTCAGAGGTCACCCTTCAGGTTCAAAGCTGAACACTTCACTCTTCCGACTTGTTTCCGCTGAGTGTGTTAGTGTTTCTACCTTCCTCCCAAACTCAACAGTACTCAGTACCCTTGAACTCTTCTCAATATTTTTGTTTGTTTGTTTGTTTTATCCTCAGCCGAGGACATTTTTCCATTTTTTGTTCAGATAGAGTAGGAGGAAGAGAGAGAGAGAAGCATTGATGTGAAAGGGACACATTGAGTGGTTGCCACCCACATGACCCAACCAGGGCCGGGGACAAACTGCAACTGAGGTAAGTGCCCTTAGCAGGAACCGAACCTGGGTCTCTGTGGACCGCAGGCCAACACTCTAATCAAACAGTCCAGAGCTCTTCTCAATATTTTTACTATTGTTTAGAGGTTTAGTTGTAAATTACTCTTTTCAAAAAAATTTTTTTATCTTTACCCGAGGATATTTTTCTTTTTAAATTTTTTTTCCTTTATTGATTTTAGAGAGAGAGAAAGTGAGAGGGAGAGAGAGATAGAAGCATCAATGAGAGAGAACACCGATTGGCCACCTCCTGCACTCCCCCAACTGGGGATCAGGCCCACAACCTGAGCAAGGAATCAAACTGGCGACCTCTTGGTGCATGGGTCGATGCTCAATCACTGAGCCACACCGACCAGATGATATTTTTCTATTTATCTTCAGGTAGAGAGAGAGGGAAATACAGGGAGAGAGAGAGAGAAACATAGATGTGAGAGAGACACATGGACTGGCTGCCTCCTGCATGACCCTGACCAGGGCCGGGACGAACCACAACCGAGGTACATGTCCTTGGCTGGAATCAAATCCGAGACTCATTGGTCCACAGGCCGATGCTCTACTGCTGAGCCAAACTGGCCAGGGCATAAATTACTCTTAAACACACACAAAGCTTTTGTTTTTCTATCAATTTTTGTACTTACTTGAATTTTTCTACCTTACACTTTCCCTCTTCTTACTGAAGCGCAGCCGGTAAAAGCCCTCACAGAGGGGCAGTGGGGAACCCCCGTGGTGGGGCTTGTTGGTGTGTCCGAAAAGTCCTTTATTTTGTTGTGATAGATGTTTGTGTACAGCAGTTCCCCCTTGTCTGTGGGGGATACATTCCAAGACCCTCAGTGGATGCCTGAAACAGCGGATAGTATGAACCTATTTATACTATGCTTTTTTCTATACATAGATATCTATTCTAAAGTTTAATTTATAAATTAGGCACGGTAAGAGATTAGCAACAATAACTGGATGATATAATAATTATAACAATGTACAGTAATAAAAGTTATACCAATGTGTTCTCTCTCTCAAAATGCCTGTTGTACTGCCCTCACCCTTCCTGGGCTGATGGGAGACGAGGCAGCAGCCACACGGTGGGCGAGGTGAGCTCAGTGCAAAGGCACTGGGGCGCGCTAGGCTCCTGCTGCCCTTCTGACGGAGGGTCCGAAGGACGGTCGTCTGCTCCGGGTGATCTCGGGCCCTGGAGCCCTGGGGCCTGACCGCAGGTCACTGGAACCTCAGAGCGAAACCTCGAATGAGGGGGCTACTGTAAACGTTTTCTCAGGGACTCCAGATGCCTATTTGATTCTTTTTCAGGAGGAAGTTTCATTTTTGCCTGGTTTTCCCATAAGTTCTTGAACTTTTACAGTGGGTTTCTCGGCGGGGCGCCTCACCCGAGCCCTCTCCTCCTGCAGGTGTCTTCATCTTCTGCTGGTTCCTCGTGCTCTACTTCCCAGGCCCGAGCGCCGCGTCCTCTTCTGGCACTGCCCAAGCTGGGCAGAGTCACACCGTGTCACACGAATAGGGGCCGCCCTGCACTCTGAACTCATCCCCGACCCTCTGTATGAACTTGGACAGCTCCCTGCCTCCCTCTGGGCCTCAGTTTCCATGTCTGTACAATGTGGCCGGGGCGGGGGTGGGGGAGAGGAAGGGAGTGGGGACCAGGTCAAACCACATGACCTCAAAGGTCCCACGCAGATTCGTCTATGGCCTGAGAGTCCCCCAATCCAGGACTGCAGGAGTCAAAAGTTCCTATAACCCTGAGAGCCCGCCAGCACAGAGCGACACCCTCACCCCTGCCACGATGCCCACCCCCTGCCCTTATAGCAAAGCAGCCTGCCTCTGCCACCACCCACCTTCTGTTCTCAGTAAGGGCCTAAGCCCAAACAGGGGAGTCTGTTGGCACAGTCCCTCCAAGGAGCCTAGCCTCTCCCGTCTCCTCCCTGTCACTGCCTCTCCAGCCTCTGGCTGCCTGTAGTGAGGAGCCCTCAGGAGATGCCACCTCTCAGGCACTGAGGTAGGTGTGAACTGCGGCTTTGTTTCGGGGGTTGGTCCTCCCAGCCCGCCTACCCCTGGTCTCAGCCAGTCCCACCTTGGCCTATCTTCACAGAAGAGCCTCCGTCACTTAGGGGGCACCAGTCCTCCAGGTGTCCAGGACACTGAATTTCAGAGAATGCCACTTAGTGGGGTGGTACCTCAAGCAAAACCCCTGTTCCCATTCTGACTGCAATGTGGGTGGTTTGACCTCTGACCTGCTGTTGTGTGGGCTGGAGGTCCAGGGCTCTGCCCACTTGAGGACCGAGGAGGGGCCAGGGCAGGGGAGGGGGCCGGGCTGGGCAGAAGGAGGACACCCTCCCACCCAGGAAGCTGAGCAGGCACTTTGAGGGCTTTACTCCCCGGGCCAGTCCAGCCCTGGGATGTTTGGAGCCCTGAACAGATACTTGCTGGTCTAACAGGTGGATGTGGGAGCTGGGAAGCGACCTGACAGGCCCTGAGCCAAGGGTGTGTCTCACCCCAGACCGCATCCCAGTGGCTGGACCTCTGTGTCGCACCACATACTGGTTTCCTCAGTAGGAAACAAAAAGAGGCAGAGATAGTAGAGATGGAGGAAGAGACACAGAGACAGAGATATAAATAGAGAGAGAGAATTAACAGATAAGCTGATGTAAAGAAAGAAGACAGAGAGAAAGAGGGACAGATGCAGAAAGACAGCAGCCTCCACCACGCCAGCCTGCCCCACCAGGAGGGCAGAGCTGTGGGACCCCTCCCCTCCCAGAGCCCCCCCCCCATGCACCTTCCCGCTATGGCCTTTACTTACCAGCCCCCGGGAATCTCACCCCCTACCCACTCCCCACCCTGTCCAGTGGGCTCTGGAGACCGTCAAGCACATTCTACAGTTGAGGAGTTATTACGATTAGACCCTCCCCACAGCCCCTGGGCTGCCAGCCTGCCCCCCCCCAGGTGCCAAGTCCTGACATGGACTCGACCAGACGAAAGACAGGAAGGGGGCCCTGGTTTTAGGCAAGTCGCTGTGTTCCTGGAAGGGAACTGCTAGGGTGTGGGTATTACGTCAGCTGAGCCACACCGTTAGTTTTTGTGCACACACTCGGTAGATTTGGAGATTTATCTTCACAGACCTGTTTCTCACACCAAAGGTCTCAGCTTCCTTACCCCAAAGTCTCAGGGTTATGAGCTTGTGCTCAGGAAGCGCAGACACAAACACTGTTAGGACTTCCCGAGGCAGCATGGTTCCTGACGGCGGCCCTTGTGCAAGCCTCCCCACCACAGGGCAGCGAAGACCAGACCGAACCGCCGCAGGACTGGCCGGACAAGAAATCTGCGGACACCAGGAACCACAGCAGCACCCGATCGCACATCCGCATCCCTGCAGACCCAACCCCTGCCCAACCCACCAACCAAGACCCCAAGACCCACTGACTGACAAAACCTTCCCACCAGTGGATGCACATAAGGACGAAACTCCCGCTCCTGGGGGCTGCATCATCCACCCAGCACTCCGTGGCTCGGACGCGTAGCCCTTCCCTCTGGATGTTCCCCCACCCCCATCCCGTTTTCTTTAAATAAACCCAATTTTTCTTCATTCACTGTCTGAGACTGCTATTTAGCCTGCCCGCACACCTCAGACCACCGACTTTAACCTTTCAGACACCAGTGTCTGACAGGCCTGGGTTCAAATCCTGGCTCTGCCACTAAGGGGCTATGTGACCCTGCCCATGTCACCACATCTCTCTGAGCCTCAGTTTCCCCCGTCTGTAAAGTTGAGATAAGTCCTCGCCTCTTCCTGAAAGCATTAAGTGAGGTGATAGAAGTCGAGTGCCCGGCACAACTCGGCAGGAGTTAGTTGGCTCCCCGAGGTCCCCTTCCTTGGCTTAAGGAAAATCCAGGTGGAGCCCTTGTGGTAAGCATGACCCTGTGCAGCCTGGATGTGAACTTGGAGGGGTGCGACGTTAGGCTCTCTCCAGATTCCTTCCACAGTCTGCCAAGCACACTAGCCCAGTGTGGGGCCAGGCACGGAGGCCCCGAGAGGCCCTGCCACCTACACAGGTCACTCTGTGACCCGGGCTGGCACTAGGGCTTGGGCCTTCCTGGGCTGCTGACATGTCATCCCAGAGCATTCCTCGGGTTCAGGAATTATCACCTCATCCCTGGCCCCCTAAACCCTGGGCTGTGGTTTTCCCAGACACGCGCAACGGGAATCACAAACTTCAAATGAGCTGAATTTCCTGGTGCAGATGGAGAGGGCACGTGGGAGGTGCTCTTTTTCTGCTGGTCTTCACCCCAGGGCCAGGTGCTAGGTAGGGGCAGAGGGGCTGGGGTCCCTCAGTGCTGGGGGTTACTGCCAAAGCTGAACATGTGTTAAGACCAGGTGAAACCATGGCAAACATGTACCCCAAGGCGCAGTGTGAATGAACAGGGTTCCCCTGTCACCGAACTATCACAATAGCAACCTAGGAAGTGGCAACACCATGGTTAAGAACACAAACTCTGGCCCAGACTGTGTGGCTCAGTGGACTGAGCATCACCCCATGGACTGGGAGGTCCTGGTTTGATTTCTGGTCAGGGCACATGCCCGGGTTGCGAACTTGAAACCCAATGTGGGGCATGCAGGAGGCAGCCAGTCGATGTTTCTCTCTCACATCGATGTTTCATCCTCTCTCTTAAAAAATAAATTTAAAAAAAGTTTATTTATTTTCTTTATTGATTTTAGAGAGAAAGGAAGGGGGAGAGAGAGAGATAGAAACATCAATAAGAGACATCATCGATTAGCCTCTTCCTGCATGCCCCCCCTGGGGATCGGGCCCACAACCTGGGCATGTGCCCTGACCAGGAATTGAACCGGCAACCTCTTGATGCATGGGTTGATGCTCAACTGCTGAGCCACACTGGCCGGGCTAAAGAAATATATTTAAAATAACAACAACAACAACAATGATAATAATAATAATAATAATAATAAAAGAACAAGAACTCTGGGGTCAACCTGCCTGGTCCAAATTCTGCCCCTACAACGTGCCTTGGATCAGTTCCTCACCTACTGAACCTGTAAAGCAGGGATGGCAGTAGCTGCCTCACAGGGCTGATGAAGGATTAAATGAAATACTGGCCGAGAGGGCTGCCCAGTGCCTGGCCCACCTGGCTGGGCAGCAATGTGACTGGGCCAGAGCTTTGCCTTGGCCATCACCTTAGCAGGACCTGGGCTGCAGTGGTCACTGGTGTGCTGCAGGAAGAGTCCCCTCATCACCACCATGGCTCCCTGATTCTCTCCGTTCTACTTCAATTTCTTCATCCCTGGTATTTTTAAATTATAATATAATAAATATACAGAAAATAAGACTTATTTTCTCTGTGCTCTCAGACAGCTAACAATATAAAAAGATAAAAATTCTTCACAAATTCATCTATGAATACAATGCAATTTCAATAAAGATGCCAAATGATATTTTAGGACTTTCTAAAAATTATTCTAAAATTTATATGGTGGCATATAGGCATCAAATAGCTACGTCAACCTTAATGAAAGAGGGCATAGAAGGAAGACTTGAACTATAGATTCTTTAAGAAGTTATTGCAACGTCATAATGATAAATCCAACATGAGGTCTGTGCAAGGATAGGCATGAAGACCAGTGGAACAGAACAGAGGGCTCATGTACACCTAGGAGACTTGATACATAAGAGTGGCATCACCAAGAAGGATGAATGGTCTGATGATGGTGTTGGAAAATTGGCTCATTGTATGGAGAAAAATAGAACAGGATCCCTACTTCACCCCTCATACAGAGATGGGCCCCAGGCAGATTAAAGATCTAAATGGTATGCCAAAACTATGAAGTTCATATAGGAAAACATTTTGCAACATAAGAGCAAAGCAGAACTTCTCAAGCAAAAATTCATAAGCACAAAAAATCAGACTCAAACCAGGCAAATTTAATTACATCAAAATTCAGATTTCTGTTTAATGAAGGACACCCGGGGATATATTAGCAGACATGTGACAGAATACTGGAGGATGCTGGCAACTCGAAAACCAGAGTAACATCTGGAAGTCCTGCCAATCAAAACAAGGACACATTCCCAGTACAGAGAAATGGGCTGAGGTTTTAAAAGCTAATTCAAGAGAAGGAAACATCTAAAATTAACACATTAGTACATGAAGACACATTTAAAAGCATGAGTGATCAGAGAAAGGCACATTTAATAGGGATACATGAAACTGGCAAACGTTAGGAAGCCAGATGGTATCAACGTTCTAGGCTTCCTTGAACATTGCAGAAGGTGGGGAGAGGGTAGGTTTTACTGCCCGGAGAAAAACAGGGTTCTGCTGCTGACTCAGCAATTCTGCTCCTGGTTATTTACCTCAAAGGAACACTCTTAAGGTCTAAAAGGGACAGAACTGATGACATGTGTGGCATTGTTCATCATGGAAGGGAGTTGATGGCATCCCTGGGAACACAGAGAGGTTATTAGTGTGAACCCACGCTGAGGACACACAGCAATACGGATGGAGCTTAAAAACAGTGAAAACAAACTACAAACAAGCAAAACAGGAGATCTGAACACCACATCATTTACACAAATTAAAAATAATAGCATGCTATTTTGGGGGAAAAATACCTATCAGAAAGGTTGCTTACATGGGGCAGGAAATGGGAGTGGGCGTAGGGATAAAAGAAACTAAATATACATAAGAAATGAGATGGTACATGGGGGGAGAAAGAGAAAGAAGCCTATGTTCCATTCCACCAGCCCAGTATGTCACTGCCTTCCTGTTTCCTCATCCTTCCTGCCTCCACCCTGGTGAATTCCCCACAGAGCTAATCACGGAGTGTACACCAGGAGTGATGTCCACACGCTGTCTCATGAGCTTTCCCTCAGTCTAATTTATCCTTCACATGTTATTTGTCACAACAGCATACTATTCCAACCAGAAGAAAAGAATTATTCTTTATTACTGAGAATTGAGATGATGCCTACCTTTCAACCAGTAACAGCAACGATATAACCTTGTTAGGACACCTGCAGTATTTCTCCAGTATTTCACCCCCTGAATCTCCACAAGGCTGCATTGTGACTTTTTCAGGTCCCTTCCTCCAGAAACAAAATAGAAAATATTATATTTTATCACTGCCCTGGTACAAAGAAGAGTATAATCCAGCATGGACTCATAATTATAGATTCATTGTTAGTCTATTTATATTTCTTCTGAATTTAAAATAAAACATTTTCATGGGCTGCTAACCTAATGGTAAGTTTTCTCTGTCCTAAATCAGAGGCTCGTCCTGGATTAGAACCCAAGACACAGGCAGCCTGGCACTGTCCACCATGACAGGCAACCACTCCAGGACCCACACTGATTTCCATCTGTCCTGATGAGGCCACTTTGACCATGCATTGGGCAAGGGCAGTGGTGTCCTGATAAATTTTTAACAGCTAGCTCTGTGAGGAAAAGATCTGTTCTGCAGCATTTGCCTGTTCCCATGGTGTAAATAATGCCATGGCCAATTTTAAGCCAGTTTTTACCAATGTGACATCACTGAACAGAAGTTGGGGAAAGATGCAGAGTAGCTCACCACTGTATTATATATATATATATATATTTTTTTTTTTCATCCTCACCCGAGGACATTCTTCCATTTTTTGTACAGATAGAGTGGGAGGGAGAGAGAGAAAGAGAGAGAGAGGGAAACATCGATGTGAAAGGGACACATCGAGTGGCTGCCACCCGCACGACCAACCAGGGCCGGGGACAAACTGCAACCGAGGTACATGCCCTTAGCGGGAACCGAACCCGGGTCTCTCCGGACCGCAGGCGGACACTCCACCCGCTGAGCCAAACCGGCCAGGACTGTATAATATTTTTAGTATACAGATAGAATAGGCATAAATAACCTCACGATAATAGTATACTGTAGTAAAACAATTAGGAAGAAAAATGCATTTGGGATTTTATTACCTTTATTTTTAATATAATCTATTTACTTATATGTTTTTATAATTTAATTATCACCAATGGCTGTGCCTGTCAACTGGCTCACCAGCATTCCTGAAATCTTAACAATCAGCTCTTCTAAGCTGGCAGAAGCTGGCTCCAGTCCACCATTGGCCAAGGGACCTGCAGCCCAGGTTTTCAGGGCTGATCTGGGTAGTGACAAAAAACTACATTTCCCAGAAGCCTCCTCTCCCAGGATGACCCTCAGCTTCTGAAAGCTGTTACTATGGAGACAGACTAACAGATAGTACAAGCTGTCCTCAGAGGGTGAGCGGGGTGTAGAGGACTGGGGATGCTGGACCCTGCCTGGCAGGGAAAGAGAGGGGGTGAGGGTACTGGTGGTAAGGGGGCTTCTTTTGCCTGGGGGCTTTGAGTTCTCTGGGGAAGTTTTCGCTCTGTGTGTGTGTGTGTGTGTGTGTGTGTGTGTGTGTGTGTTGGGGAGGAAGAGGTTGCTTCTGGGGAGGGGGTGCAAAATGATCTGTGGAGTGGGGAATGCCTCTGGGACTCTGGACAGAGTAGGGTCCAGGGAACTTTGAGGCCAGACTGCCCTCCCCAAAGTGCTACAGCTGACAAGGCAGCCTGATGTGGGGAAGGAAGTATAATGTTTCTGGTCCAGCTCCGCCGTTGATGATGTTGTTCTTGGGCTCAGGGCCCATCACGGTGCCTGCCCCAGTGGTAAGACCCGCTGGCCACTGACATCTCGGCTCTCTCCGTGTCCTACTTCTTTCTTTACTGCCCACGCCCCACCCCCACTATCCTTCAGGGACTTTCCCATCTCGTTAGGCCCCAAAGTGCATGGGTTTCAGAAATATATGGGTTCAAACCCCAGATCTGCTACTACCAAGGTCTGTGACCTTAGTCAGTGCTCTTCACCTCTCTAAGCCTCAAGCTTTTCATCTGAAAAATGGGGAGACCCTGCTCTTTTCTCCGCAGTCCTCATCACCTTCCCCCACCACATCCTGTGCATTGGATCGGTTTTCCTCCTCTTTGGACCTTTGCCCTGTTTGTTGTTAAAAACAACAGATATTTGAGGTGGGGTAATGGAAAGACATGAGCTGGGAGGCAGGAGGCTGGTGGGTCGGCTGAGATGATGTAACAGGAACCTGCTTAAACAAGCAGAGGCTGTTTCCTCATATGATGGGAAGTCTGAAGGTGGTACGCAAGGCCTCCATGGCACCTCCTGGGATTATGGCTCCACCTGTCTTTTCACTGCCGTCCTCAGCAGGCAGCTGTGGTCCCCATGAGTGGTTATCTCATGGTCATGCATTGGTTGTACCTCCTGCTTTATGTCCCTATCCCCGGCAGGAAGAGGACAAAGGGTCTGTGCCAGATGGGCTCATCCCTTTAACATGTAGCAACTTCCACTCACATCTCCGTGGCCAAAACTGGATTCAAATCACAGGGCTGACTTAGCTGCAAGGGAGGCTGGGAAGCTGAATATTTCAAACCAGGCACATTGCTGCCCCCAATAAAATTGGGGTTCTGTTTATGGATGTGGGGGCTGGATTTTTGGGTAGGCAATTAGCAGTCCACCTCAGTGAAACTTGGCTCTGTGACCACAGTAAGGCCTTCCCTAGGGCACACGAGCACATATGGCATCTCAGTGTGGCTCCCAAATGACCTCGTCCTGGGATGACACAGGGCTTGGCCAGAGGAGTGCAAGCTGTATCACGTCTCCCACACACCTGTCCCTTGCTAGGTGCCTTGGCGAAGCCCTGCTTTTGCCTTCTCTGTGCCTCAGTTCCAGTTTTGGTGATGTAACCTTTTTTGTTGTTGTTATATTCCATACCACCACCTTACTATTATGAATAATTTTCTTTAAGCCAATTCACTTATTGGGCTTAATAAATATATTTAAATAGAAAATGTTATAATCCTACAGTGATCCCTTCAGCATTAGCATCACTGGCTGTAAGGGAAGATGCGGTCAGAATAAAGATGTGAGAAGGCAAGCGACGTTAGTAAGTCTGGGCCGTCCCCTCCGGCCCGACAATGGTTCCCAACCTGTGGCCTGCTGTGTTTGTGTTAAGGGAGATTTGTGAGTGCCAGGAAGGTGTTACAGCATGTTAGCACCAAGAAGAGACTTTCTCCTCGATGGAAAGGAAGTTTAAAGGAGACTCGCTTACTCTGATCTAAACCACCGAAAACCATCACCCAGGGACATCAGTGGTCTTGGTGGTCCCCTCCTGGTCTGAAGTTGGCCATTCTGAGTTTATTTATCCCTCCTGCAGAGAATCCATCTCGCGACAACCAGAGACACGCCAGAATGGAGGTCCTGAAGGAAAAAGTGGAGGAGGAGGAGGCAGCCGAGCGGGAGGCAGAGGCTGAGCGGGCAGAGAAGGGCGAGAAGGTGACGAGGCCGTCGGAGGTGCGGAAGGAGGAGCCCACCATGACGCCGGAGATGCTCCGAGATCTGGAGAAGCAGCTGTCAGACATTGAGATTGCCGTCCCAGAGAAGCCCGCGTGAGTGTCGGGTGAGGGCTTCAGGCCCAGGAGCCCTGGAGAGGGTCAGAGCAGGGCTCGGCACAAAGGAGCCAGGCAAACAATGGCACCGGGGCTGGAGGGCAAGCCCAGGGCATAGAGCGAGGCTGCTAAGAGCGAGGGCTCTGCTTTCACACTGCCTGGGCCAAGTCCCCACGCTGCCTCTCACTGACTGCAACCGAGCCAGTCGTTCAACCGCTCTGTTCCTCAGCTCCTTTGTCTGCTCAAAGGGTAGATGCTAATAATGCTACTTCCCTCCTAGGAAGTTGTGAGGATTAAACAAGGAGGGGATAGAGCCCATGGCAGCTAAGGTAGATCAGGGTTCCCTGTGTCCAGGCCTGGACTCGTGGACTAATTAATGCCATCCCTCCTACGGGCACAGGATCGTTACCAAGGACACTATTGACATCTTCAAGCTGCCCTGGTCCTACAGAAGCAACACACCCAAAGAGGAACACCTGCTGCAGGTGGCAGACAACTTCTCCCGCCAGTATAGCCACCTGTGCCCGGACCGCGTGCCCCTCTTCCTGTACCCACTGAACGAGTGTGAAGTGCCTGTAAGGCCAGGTCATGGGGGCAGGGACAGGCGGGCTCGATAACAGAGGGCGGAAGGAGGGGGGCCCACCCACACGCTGTCCTGGACAAGAGCTTATAGAAAGGAAAGGGCAGAGAAATAAGACGAAAAGAGCAGGATAGGCTGTAGGACCCAAGCACTGGACCCCTTTCTTCCAGCCCTGTGACCCAGGGCACGCCCCTGAGTCTCTCTGGGCCTCAGCTTCCCCAACTGTAGATGGCATGGCGGAGGAGGAATCCAAAGGCTGTAAAATGGCAGCCTGCAGGCTGGCAGGCTCGCAGACTGTTCTCTTTGGTCTGAGTGTGATTTTTAACCTGTGTGTTAGCTGCCAGCACTGGAGGCCCAGGGACCCTCATACCCCTTCGGCGGAGCTATGTGAGATCCGGTGCTGGTGGGGCCTCCCTCAAATCCACAGGGAGACCCTGGAGGCTGGCCCGCGGGCCCCAGGTGGCAGAGCAGCTCTTGAAGGGCCCCGTAGCGCTAGGTCCCTCACACTGGGCGGTGGCCGAGAGCCAGACAGACCCAGCTCTGCTGCTGACTGTGAACTGGAGCCAGTTTCCTCTTGGAGCCTCAGTTTCCCCCTCTGTCAATGGCACCTGCCCCACAGGGTCGCTGGGGACCCGGGAGGTGATGCCAGGTCTGGTGGCACTAGGCAGGGCAATGGTGACAGTGAGGCCCTGATTCATCACCAGCACCTGGGGACGGCACAGGCTTATTCTGGGTCTGGGCTGGAAGGGCTTTGAGGAATCCCTTTCTCCAGTTCCCTGGGCACCGGGGAGGAGCCTGAAGCCCAGAGAGGCCGAGAGATCGCCCGCTCCCCCCCGAACTGAGGTGTCTGGCTTCCTGGGAACGCCATGCTCTCCACCCAAGTGGAATGCCCTGCCGGGGCCTTTGGTCTCTCCCCTTGCAGAAGTTTGTGAGCACAACCATCCGGCCCACACTGATGCCCTACCCTGAGCTCTACAACTGGGACAGCTGTGCCCAGTTCGTTGCAGACTTTCTGGCCATGGAAGCCCTGTCTGAACCTCTCAAGCCGGTAAGTGCCACGCTGGGCTGCATCCTCGTGGGCCTAGGACGGGAAGCCAGGCAAGACTGGAGAAATAAGCTCACCCCGTGAGTCTGTTTGGGGAGGCTGGGGCACAGGCTGAGAGGGCCAGCTACTCACCTGAGGTCACACAGCCTGGTCTCCGGCTCCCACTGCTTTGCCTCCTTTGCCTCTTTCGCCTTCAGAGTCTCCCTTTCATGACTCCGGGAGGTGGGGAGAGGGAAGGGAGGGAGGTCCCTGCTACTCACGGCCGCGGCCTCACCTCGGAGCTTCTGGCCAGATCGTGGACTCCTCGCTGAGAAAGGAGGGTGGGAGGGAGGAAGAGATGGGTCCACAGTGGGAACTGAAGAAGGAGAGAAGGAAAGGATGGCGGAAGAAGGTGAAGGGAACTTTGGAATAAAACCATAAAATTGCCCATTAGAGAGCATCAGACCGCAGGCTTCTCCAGTCCACAGGGTCCTCCCCATAAGGAAGTCCACAGCCCCTGAAAACTGTAGGCAAATGTGGATGGCTCTCTCGGGACATGAAGCCTGTGGTTTTCACCCCATTTTTAGCAGGCTCCCCAAACCAAAAAAAAGGTGAGGAGCCCTGTTGGGGTCCAGCCTGCATGGGCACTAGCGCCCAGCCCTGCCGCGTGGGGAGGACGGGCGGGGCAGTGGGCGGCGGCGCTGACCCCCTGCCATGGCCAGCCCTCGCACCTGTACTCCCCGACCACGGTGCTCAAGTACCAGAGGGGCAACTGCTTCGACTTCAGCACGCTGCTCTGCTCCATGCTCATCGGCGCTGGCTACGACGCCTACTGCATCAACGGCTACGGCTCGCAGGACCTGTGCCTCATGGACCTGACGCGGGAGCTGTGCCCGCTCACCGTGAAGCCCAAGAAGGTAGGCTGCCCTGCCCCTCCCTGCCCCGCCCGCAGCAACCAGCTCCATCACCACAGTTCGCACTTCAGAGCCCCGGCGACTCCTCTGACCTCAGCTTCTCAACACAGAGCCCAGGTCCCCGCTGGCTGTCCCTTCCCCTCGTCGGGACTCAGTGGCAGCTTCTATGTTCCCCACGAGGTAAATGTTGTGAATGCCACATGGCTTATACCTTAAGTCAAACTCTTCCAAATGTACCCTGCACATTTGATAAAAGTCCATCTAGCCATTAAAGGGCCCCTTTGCAACAGAAAAAAAAACAAAAAAAAAACCAACCCACCCTTCAGCAGGTGGCAGTTGTTTTTATATCTGTTGACTGAGAGGCCAGAATGACCACAGGCTGCTGTGAACACAAGAACCACTCTTAGGTGAATTCCATTTTAGGAGCCATTAAAGTATCTCTTTGCCTTTGGAAAGTAGCCACACTACAGGCAGAAAATGCTCTTCATGAACTGGGTCGATTTCAAAACTGTGATCAGGGTCAAACCCTGTGGGTGTCTGCAGCTCAGGGATGGGATCCAGCATGACGTGTGCACCTGGTGAGCACCTGGGGGTCCCGGGGTGCTCTGGTGGAGGGAGGCACCAGGTGGGAGCCTCACTCTCTCAGGCCCACCTCCTCAAGGAAGATGGAGTATCATCCAAGGCCTGTGAGCTCTCACATGGGCCTCAGCCAAAATTTTAATTATTAAAATGATACCAATGCTAACAAAGGCAGAGAACTTTCCAGTGTATAAGCCACTTTCCTGTCCACTGACTTGGCTGTCCCTCACGAGGGCACTCAGGAACAAAAATCCAGCCCCCACACACTCGATCTGACATGTTGCCAGAATCGTTGCTGGTGAATGGAGACTTAGGGACTGAGGCCCAGACTGTCTGACTCTAAACCAAGGAGACTCGCTATTTCCCCTCCTAACTGCCACAAGCCACTCTGCAGCTTCTGTGGAGTCTCTCTCTCTCTCTCTCTCTCTCTCTCTCTCTCTCTCTCACACACACACACGCTTTCTTCTCCTTCCTTTCCCAGCAAACTCCTACTTTACATCAACATGAAAGCCTCCAATGGCAAAATCTGGACAATCTGACTGCCGACAATTTGCCCCACTCCCCAGGTCAGATCCAGATCACACCTCCTGTGGGCAGTGGGGAGAGAAGAAGAGAAAACCACATATGAGCACCAGCCCTGATAGGCACCTCCTATGGGCATTGTCCTGTCTTTGCTTCTCAGAACAAGCCTGGACGAAGGTTCTTATTATTCTCATTCCAATTTACAGATGAGCCTGAAGTGTGGGAAGTAGAAGGACTTGCCCAAGGTCACAGAGCAGCTGTGATCTCCTGGTCTGAGGGGTGGCAATTCATCGCTGCTGATCTTCTTCTCTTGTTGGGTGACAGACAGTCCAGGAGAAGGAAGTGGCACCACCTAAGAAGTATGCCGTCAAACCCCCCAGGGACCTGACCAGCAGGTTTGAGCAGGAGCAGGAGATGAAGAAGCAGAAAGAGATCAAAGCTGAGGAGGAGAAGCAGCTGAGGGAGGAAGTGGAGCGCCTCCAGGTGGGTCCACCGCCCTCAGCCCTCAACTCCTGAGCTCAGCTCTCGAGGAAAGGTCTCTAGGAATGGGAAAGAGACACAGGTCATAAGAAAATGTGTTTATGGACCCCTAGTTCCAAATCCCCTCTTCTACCTGTCAACCATCCCGCCTCTGCCTGGCCATGAGGGACCCTTCCACTGGTGGTCAGCCAGCTTCTGGTGACTGACTTCTCAGGTCGGAGCTCTGCTGCCTCAGGTAGCTTGTTTCGTGCTGGGCACTTCTGGTGTCCTCCTCATTCAAGACTCTTTTACTAAAGACCTACCTACATACTCTCTCCCATTCGTCCTCCCAACCATCCTCCCACCTCTCCATCCATCCATCCTCCCAGCTCTCCATCCATCCATCCATCCATCCATCCTCCCACCTATCCATCTATCCATCCATCCATCCATCCATCCATCCATCCATCCATCCATCCATCCTCCCACCTATCCATCTATCCATCCATCCATCCATCCATCCATCCATCCATCCATCCATCCATCCTCCCACCTCTCCATCCATCCATCCATCATCCATCCATCCATCCATCCATCCTCCCACCTATCCATCCATCCATCCATCCATCCATCCATCCATCCATCCTCCCACCTCTCCATCCATCCATCCATCCATCCATCCATCCTCCCACCTCTCCATCCATCCATCCATCCATCCATCCATCCATCCATCCTCCCACCTATCCATCCATCCATCCATCCATCCATCCATCCATCCATCCTCCCACCTCTCCATCCATCATCCATCCTCCCAGCTCTCCATCTCTCCATCTGTCCATCCATCTCTCTTCCCCATCCACATTCCCATCCTCCCTTCCACCCTCTTTTCCTCCCTCCTTTCTTTCCTTTCCTTTCTATGGTATTTACTGAGCATCTCTTTTGGTTCAGGCACTATGGCTACAATACTGAGCATGACACAGTCACCCTTCTCCCAGAGGAAGGAGACTAGGAAACCATATGGTGTCCCACTACTTTTCTTTGGATGAAATCTCACCCAGAAGAATCACAGCAGAGAAAGCCAGTAAATCCCAGCTTCCCTAGAGCTCCAAAGGGCCCAGTTAAAAACCCCAGATTAAATCAGTTCCTGCCATTTTATTGATAAGAAAATGGGCTCAGAGGTGGGGTGATGTTAAGGTCATGCAGCCAGCCAATGGTAGAGTCCGGATCAGAATTCAGCTCTCCTGCTCCCCAACCCTGGGGAGATGACTCCCCCCTTCCCACCCACGTGGCCCATGGTCACCCACCTTTCCTGTGCAGGAGGCGGAGAATGCGAACATCGACCCCCTGCACGGCCTGCGGGTGCACTCTTGGGTGCTGGTGTTGTCGGGAAAGCGCGAGGTTCCTGAGAGCTTTTTCATTGACCCGTTCACGGCTCGTAGCTATAGCACCCAGGACAACCACTTCCTGGGCATCGAGAGTCTCTGGAACCACAAGAACTACTGGGTCAACATGCAGGACTGTTGGAACTGCTGCAAGGTGCCAGGCAGGGGCCTCTGTTGGTGTGGCAGTTATAGTGGGGGTGGGGGCAAATGACCTGTGGGGAGAGCTGGCCACCGGGCCGTGAGGGCCTCAGACTTCCTCCATAGCTGAGTCTCCACAGCCAGCTCCATTCTGATGGGATTATTGTCTCTCTTTTGATTTGTGTACCCTATTAAATGTGGATTGTTAGTTTGTATGAATGACTTAAAAACGTGTTGAAATGCAACATATGTGGCAGAAAAGTGCACGCATCCTAAATGTACAGCTCAATGCATTTCCATAAATGTACACATATAAAAACTCAGAGTCACTTACATACATTAAAAATATATGCACAGCCCTGGCCAGTTTGGCTCAGCGGTTAGAGCGTTGGCCTGCGGACCAGAGAGTCCCAGGTTTGGTTCCCACTAAGGGCACGTACCTCAGTTGCAGTTTGTACCCGGCCCTGGTTGGGTCATGTGGGTGGCAGCCACTCGATGTGTCCCTTTCACATCGATGTTTCTCTCTCTCTTTGTCTCTTCCTCTCTCTCCCTCCCACTCTATCTGAACAAAAAATGGAAAAATGTCCTCGGGTGAGGATAAAAAATAATGTGTATATATATGCACAGCCCGGGCTGGTTTGGCTCAGCGGTTGGAGTGTTGGCCTGCAGACCAGAGAGTCCCAGGTTCGGTTCCCGCTAGGGGCATGTACGAAATATATATATATTTTATATATATATATATGCACACATTTGGGGGGAAGGTCATAACTGGACACAAGGTGACTTTCGGGGGTGGAAGCAATGTTCTATTTCTGGATCTGGGTGCAGGAAACCAAGGTGTGTCCAAGTTATAGAAATTCATTGAGCTGGACACAAATAAAAAGAGAGACAGGCTCTAGGCTCAAGTCCTGTGGGCCTTGGTTTTTTCCAACTTCCCATATTTCCAACCAGGCCAGTTTCCCAAAGGCAGATTCTGGGCCCTTTGCCCCCTACTCCAAAGGGACCCTGTCCGCGGGACTGCTGTTGCCCCCGTGGGGGGCGGGCAGAGTTGATGAGGTACGGTCCAGGGCAGTCACTTTGCCTGCAAGTCAGATGTCCTGAGGTGGAGAAACGTCTGTCTTTAGTGCAGGAGGAACACCCCTCCCTTAGCCTCTGAGCCCAGGGTTGCTCAGCCCTCACCGAACTCACAGGGTTGTGGGAAATACCACCCAGTAGGTGCTTAGAATAGTCAGTCCCTGGACAGTCAATAATGTTAGCTACTATTACTCTTATTTTATGGGAAAACATTTCCATAGCACACAGATGGGGCAGAGCCCAGCCTGCCCTCTCGCAGAGCCCAGGCTCCCAGCCACCATAGTGATCAGTGCCCTCAGCAGGATGATGGCCCTTGGTGGCTGTGACAGTCCTTCTTTGCCCCTTTCCTGTCTTCATCCTCTTCTCAAAGCACCTCTCGGACTAATGCCAGGCGAATGAAATGTATGGCAGGGATAATAGACATGGAAGGGTGGCCTGGTGGGAAAATGAGGCCAGAGGGGCAGCACTGCATCACCAAGTGAGGGCATGAGAAAGAGATCATGACTCTGGCTGTCCCCTTTCCTGCCAAATGAGCAGGGACTCAGCTGCTTTGTTCCTTCAAAGAAAGCTGAAGTGGCATTGGGGGCAGCAGTGAGGCGACACAGGACAGCAAGACACCCCAGGCTCACAGGAGCTGTCCTTTGTCATGCTTTTCCTATAAAAATAGACATTTGAGTAGCAAAATGCCTAACTACTGCTTACTACCCACCAAAGTGACAGAATGGAGGACGTGATTGAGAGAAATACCAACATCGGTACAATTTGGTGCTTCTCCACGAAGCCTTGACCAGACGCAATCACCGTTGCATCCATGAGCAGTCTCTCTCCCTCTCCTCCATGTCCTCTCTCCACCCGCCCCCCAGCTGGAGTAGAGAAATACTCAGGAGCCCTCCAGGGCTCAGACACAACAGTGAGGGTGAGGATTAGGCTGGCTTCATACTGAAGCCCTCATGGGCAGCTGCTCTTAAGCCTTTTCCCTCCTCCTGGGGCATGACTGCTCCTAGGACAAGGAGGCTGGGATACGGTGGGGAGCCTCGGTTCAGCTGGGCTGGGATGAAAAGAGGTGGGGGACGCATGCCATGGAAGAGAAACTCCACCTGCCTCCTCTGTACGATGTCCCATGTGCCTGGCTACTTCCCTCCCCCGTGTGAGTAGACACCGGGAGGAGGCCCCTTTCCAAGCCTTCCATCACCCCTCCCATAAACTCGCACTGCTTGGGTTCGCTCTGCATGCTGCTGGGGACGCCCCCCGACAATGCAGAATGACTCCACAGCCAGACTAGCCCAGGCTGGCGTTTCTAAGTCTTTCACAGAGACCAACAATGAGATTTCTTCACGGGGAGACTGAGCAACAGAAAGGGTGTTCCAGCCCCGCTTGGAGCCTTGGTTTCCTTGTTGAAATGAGGAGGTGGGCGTGGACTCACGGGGCTGCCAAGCTGGCATTCCACCCCTGACCGGGCCCCAGGTCCCTTCTCCACTCTGAGAACAGCTGTTTCCCACCACCCTATGGACAGGAGGGGGAGTGATGGCTGTGGGTGCACTCAGCTGATCCCCTCCCCCATTAGGACTTGGTCTTTGACCTAGGAGACCCTGTGAGGTGGGAGTACATGCTTTTGGGGACCGATAAGCCTCACCTGTCCATGACTGAGGAAGACGAGGATGGCTTGAATGATGACGATGATGTCCTGAACGATGACGATGATGTGGACAATCTGGTGAGTCTCATCCGCCTGTGGGGCGGGGGGTGGGGGGGAGGGCTTCACATCCTGTCTTGCTTCAGGCGGGCTTAACAAATGTCTAGCCGGCATGCATGTGTGTGGGAGAGGACAGTCCAGCTAGACCAATTATAGATTCCTCTAACCAGAAGGGCCTGGACTATGGCTCATTTTTATAGATGGGCAAACTGAGGTTCAGACAGAGTCAATGACCTGCCCAGGACACTTCCCCCCCCCCCCCCATGAAGCAGGGGAGGGCTGGGACTTGCATTCAGATCTGCCCTCCACATGGTCTGTCCTATTCAGAGAGTGCCCCTCGGAGCAGGCCGAGGGAGCCCCAGGCTGGTCCTTCCTCACTTCTGGCCCTTCCTGCACTTTAAAGCCTTTCTTTCTTTCTTTCTTTCTTTCTTTCTTTCTTTCTTTCTTTCTTTCTTTCTTTCTTTCTTTCTTTCTTTCTTTCTTCCTTCCTTCCTTCCTTCCTTCCTTCCTTCCTTCCTTCCTTCCTTTCTTTCTTTCTTTTTTTGTTAATCTTCACCAGAGGATATTTTTTCCATTGATTTTTAGAAAGAGTGGGAGGAAGGGAGGGAGAGAGAGAGAGAAAGAGAGAGAGAGAGAAACATTGATGTGAGAGAGAGAGACATAGATTCATTGCCGGGGATCAAACCTGCAACCCAGGTACGTGCCCTTGACCAGGAATTGAACTCATGACCCTTTGGTTTGTGGGCCTACCCTCTACTCACTGAGCAAAACTAGCAGGGCTACTTCTAGGCCTTTCTTGTCCCTCCTATTAGCTTTCCTGAGGGCCATTGGCCTGGGACATTCCCCAAGTCGCCAGCATCCCTTCTCTGATTTCCTGGTCTTCAGGCAGGTCGGCAGGAAGCCTGTGTGAGCAGGTCAGGGCCCAGAGGCCTTAGGGATCGGCTCTGACACCTTGGGCCAGCTTCCTGGTCACCAAAAGCTTCAGTTTCATCAACCGTATGCCAAGTGGAGGAAGGGGGTCAAGTTTGGTCATAGAACTAATAATAGGTGTATTCATTTGCTAGAGTTGCCATAACAAAGTACCACAGGCTGGGGGGCTTAAGCATCAGACCTTTACTTTCTCACAGTTCTAGAAGCTGGAAGTCCAAGACCAAGGTGTCTTCTGAGACCGCTGTCCTTGGCTTGTAGAGGGCTGTCTTCCCCATGTCCTCACCTGGGCTTCCCTTCGTCTGTGTCCTAATTTCCTCTTAGAAGGCACTAGTCCTACTGGATTATGGCTCACCCTAATGACCTCCTTTTAACTTAATTACCCCTTTAAAGATTCTATCTCCAAAGATAGTCTCGTTCTGAGGTACTAGGGGTTAGAAAATATGAATTCTGGGGGACACAATTCAGCCCATAACAATAGGTAACTCTCATATGGCCCTTACTAAGTGCCCATTGGTGCTTAACCTGAAATAATTTGTCTAAATCTTCACAACCATTGGGCGACGCGGGTACTAGTATTATCATCTATGATTATTATCATCCACTTTACAGATGGGAAGACTTACACACAGGGGACTGAAGTAATTTACCCAAAGTTACATAGCCAGTAGGTGACAGAGCTGGGTTTGAACCTGGGATTTGAGTCTGGTTCTGTCATCTGGGTTCTCAATGGGCGACTCTCTTCTACCTGCTGGGACTGCTTGAGGACAAAATGGGACCACTGGTGTGATGTGCCAGGCGCAGCACTGTAGACATGCCTGAAAATTGTATTGAGCATATTCAGTGTCCTCAGCTCTGGAGACTAGACAGCAAATCTGGGTGCACAGGCGCCCCCTGCTGGCCTCAAAGGGTGGGCTGAGTAGATGAGCCAGTCAGTGGCAGAGTCTGAGTAATGTTTGTGGGCAAAAGGTTTTAAATTGAGCCCTGGCCAGTTTGACTCAGCGGTTAGAGTGTCAGCCTGTGGTCCAGAGAGACTCCGGTTTGGTTTCCGCTAAGGGCATGTACCTCGGTTGCAGTTTGTCCCCGGCCCTGCTTGGGCCCTGTGGGAGGCAGCCGCTCGATGTGTCCCTTTCACATCGATGTTTCTCTCTCTCTCTCTCTCCCCTTTCCACTCTGAACAAAAAATGGAAAAATGTCCTCGGTGAGGATGAAAAAAAAGTTTTAAATTGAGAAATCCTTTTCAAGTTTCTGTGGTCACCTAGTTTGAGGACCATTTGTCTAGGCCAGGCCTGATTTTACAGTTGGGAAACTAAGACTCAGAGAGATAAAACAAACCAATAATGACAGCCAGGCAGTGTTCCCAGCCTTTTACATACCTTCTATCAGTTAACCTCCCCACCGAGGGCTCAGTTGGGAAACTGAGGCTCAGAGCAGTTAAGGGACTTTCCCAGGACCCCTTGAACGGTGTTAGATGGAGAGTGGCGCTTGGGGCCACTTGACTCTGGAAGCCACTTTCTTTCTTTTTTTCTTTTTTTTATCCTCACCTGAGGACACTTTTCCATATTTTGTTCAGATAGAGGGGGAGGGAGAGAAAGAGAAAGAGAAACATCGATGTGAAAGGGACATATCAAGTGGCTGCCACCCGCACGACCAGCCAGGGCCGGGGACAAACCGCAACCGAGGTACATGCCCTTAGCGGGAACCGAACCCGGGTCTCTCCGGACCGCAGGCCGAAGCTCTAACCGCTGAGCCAAACCCGCCAGGGCTGGAAGCCCCTTTCTTAACGAAGGGCCCGTGGCTGTGCCTGGTGCCTCCGACAACCGAAGGCAGGTGGGCGTGCAGGCAAGGGTGCTGCTGTCCTAGCCAGGAGGGTGCAGGGGAGGTCCCAGCCCACTGGGAGGAGACTCCTCCTCTTCCTCCCTCTCCGGGGTCACACCAGGCCAGGTCAGAACTGCCCTGACTTCTGGCTCCCTAGGGAGCTGACAAGGCACCCTGGCTTGGCCTTGGTCGGGAGGTGGGGGGGTGGCTTTGCCTGTACAGTCTGACCAGACCAGCCCACCCTGCCCCCGCCTCTTCCAACAGGGCAAAGAAGAAGAGGATAAAAGCTTTGACATGCCGCACTCGTGGGTGGAGCAGATCGAGATCTCCCCAGAGGGTGTGTGTGTGTGTTTACTCCCCTCCCTAGGACCTGGGTTCCTGGGATGGTCTGTGGCAACAGTGAGACGGGGATGCCAGCAGAGGCTGCCCTGACCCCTCATCCCCTCATTCCTACCCCTCCTGCTTTCGGCTGCCCCCTCCTCATCCTTCCTTCCTGCCACACATGCTCAGCGCTGCCATCGAGGGCCTGGCGTACAGGAGGGGGCTCAGTTAACTCTGCTGGGTGATGGCATGTGGGAGGTGGAGGACGGAGCACCAGGACACAGTCGTTCCCCTCCCTCACCCCACCTACCAGGAAGAGGCTTTGCACAGTGCCCAGATGGCACAGGGGACGGAAGGTGTCAGGACCGGGGAGGGGGGGGCAGGCAGAGAAAGCAAAAGGACAGGGACACTTGTGCCTCACGTCAGCATCTACTGGCTGCTGAGTCTCCCTTCTGGGAGTCCCTAGACCACAAGGTCGGCATAGGCCATTGGCTATTCAAACAGGGTGGGAAGGGCCAGAGAAGGTGCATGAGAACCCAGGGGAGGAGCCCCCGGCTGGGGGGCTCAGGGTTGGGGCCTGCGGGTGGGGGGAGAAAGGGCTTCCAGGAGGAGGGGTCATCTGAGCTAAGCTGTAAAACATCACAAGAAGTCAGGTTAGGGCAGGAGGGGATGGTGTTCCTGGCAGAGAGACCTGCAGAGGCAAAGGCCTGGCAGTGTGTGGTGTGGCAGGGCATGGGTCCTCTGGTTGGCTCAGATCTGAGAACTCCTCCGGGGCAAGAGCCACCCCTTGCGTCCATTCTCCTTGGTCCCCTGGAGCGGGCTTGGGGCCTGGAGGAGCTTAGCACCTGGGTCAGTGGACAATGGCTGAATAAGTAGCTGAGTGGGGTTGGTCCTCCCTTCCCCTGATCTGGGGAGGTCCCTTACCCCAGCCCACTCTGTCTACAGCGTTTGAGACCCGCTGCCCAAATGGGAAGAAGGTGATACAGTACAAGAGGGCCAAGCTGGAGAAGTGGGCTCCGTACCTCAACAGCAACGGCCTCATGTGCCGCCTCAGCACCTACGAGGACTTGGAGTGTAAGGGGGGCAGCTGGGCATGGGGAACAGGTCCCCCGACATATTGTGTGACATTAGACAGGTCACTGACTCTCTTGGTGTGAGTGTGGGCCCTGCTGGCATCTGTGTGTTGGGAATGGTGGGACAGAGGCTGGGGCAGCTGGCCTGGCTGCAGCCAGCACCAATTGGCCCCACAGGTACCAAGATTTTGGAGATAAAGGAGTGGTACAAGAACCGGGAGGACATGCTAGAGCTGAAGCAGATAAACAAGGTCACAGGCCTGAACACTGACTACTTCAAGCCGGGTCACCCCCAGGCTCTGCGTGGTGAGTGGACCCCCTTGCCGGGCCAGCCAGGAGCCCTGGTGGGGCCTCGTCTACTCCTTAGGGCAGCCTCTGTGCCACTGGTGTGTGGTGGGAAAAGCAGTGTCTGTGCATCACAGGGTTCTTTGGGTGGCAAGCAACAGAAACCACCCCGCCTCCCCAAGCAAACCAGATGTGAGAGGTCAGGGGAAGCGCAGGAAATCCAAGGAGACATGACAAATGTTTTTCCAGGAAAGTGGGAGCCAGGCCCACATGCCGATTCCGTGGTTGGGATCAGGCCCACCGTAGGAGACCACATTTATAGAGGGGGTCAGGATGCTGAGCAATGAAACCAACAAATGCCCCAACAAGGGTGATGTAGAGGGCAGAGGGTGTGGAAGTTGTGGACATGATCATGAGCCCTGGGAAGGGAAGGAAGGACACGCCTTAGGAGAGAATCAACAAGAAGTCACAAAAGGAAACATAGTGTACTAAAAAATGGGCAGCCTCACTTGATGATTGAAATAAATAAATAAAACTAGTTCACTAGGGGCCATCTTACAACCCTCATGTCATCAAAGATGAAAAAAGTGGTCCTACAGGAGGTGAGCAAGTGTGCAAAACAGCAGACAGTCGCCTCTGTCACTACTGGCAGGGCAGCAAGTTGGCACGACGTTTCTGGAGGGCATTTGGGCAAAATAAGCAATACCAGCCTTAAAATATTTATGCTTTGTGACCAGCAGTTCAATGGCTGAGAATTTGTCCTGAGCAGATAATGGGCAAGAATTTTTTTTAAATGCATGATGCAGATGTTCATCATGGTGTTATTTATAATAAGAAAAAGACTGGAAACAGCCTAAATACCCAGCAGTGGGGGATGGGTTGCAGACCTAAGGCTCATCCATGAGCTGTGCCTTCTTCCTGGAGTCCGGGGTCACCGTTGGGTTGTCCAGCCAGTGGCCAGGGCACCTGGTACTGACCCAGCCGCCTCCCGGCCCTGCCTCCCACTGCAGTGCACTCATACATGTCCATGCAACCGGAGAGGGAGCGCAGCATGGAGTTCTACGGAACGGCTCGGGGGGACGGCCTCATAAAGCGGGAGGAGACGACCACGACGATGACGGAATACTATCAAGGCCGGCCCGACTTCCTCTCCCACCGCCATGTCATTTTTGGGCCCAGGGTCAAGAAGTTCACTGTGAACAGTGCAGAGTCAAACCCCCGGCCCATGGTGGTAAGGGCTTACTGGGTCTGGGGGCAGGGTGCCTGCTGCGGTGACCGGCCAGGGTGGCCCCAGGATGGGGACAGCCCTGACTGGAGCAGCATCTTTCCCAGAGCCCTTTCCCATTTGTGCCCTCAGCCACTAGGCCAGGAGGTATTATTTCCTTACTGTTATAAAAAGTGTACACTTAGACTAAACATTTAGAATATATGAAAAAATATATGTCGCTTCTCAGCTTTTTGGCTAAGATCAAGTGTAGAATATATGAAAAAATATAAAATGTAAAGAGAAAAAAGTAAAAAATATTTCAGAATTGCATCTCTCAAATATTACTATATAATATAGGTTTGGTTTTGAGATGTGTATGTGTGTGAAGGTAGAATCCCTGTACCACCCACTCAACATTAAATTGTGCATTTTTTTCTTCATATCATTACAAATTATTTGGCAACTGAGTTTAATGGCTGCATACCGGAAAACAAACAAAAAACCTCTTTCTAGTAGTAAGGGAGGTCTAGTGATAGAGAAGGCTACCTGGCGATGTAGTGAGCTCCCCATCTCTGGGGGTGAGTAAGCAGAAGCTTGTGGAGGGAGCTAGAGAAAAAAATCCAGCACCACACATGGCTGGAGTAGCTTGGCACTGAAACTCACAGGGCCACAGAACCATTGCCTGGTTAGAAGGAGCTGCTCTACACGAACCCCTAAATGACCCCAGACTCCAGTGTCCTTGAGTGTCCTTTACTTCTGCTCTCGTGGACACAGAAATCTCCTTTCCCACCGTCCATCCTATGCATGTTCTGGCCTCCCAGAAAATCACAGAGCGGTTCTTCCGCAACCCCGCAAAGCCTGCGGATGAGGACGTGGAGGAGAGAGTGTTTCTGATTTTGGAGGAGCGGATCCAGCTGCGCTACCACTGCCGCGAAGATCACATCACGGCCTCCAAGCGCGAGTTCCTGCGCCGCATGGAGGTGGACAGCAAGGGCAACAAGATCATCATGACTCCCGAAATGTGTATTAGCTTTGAGGTGGGCCTGGGGGTCGTGGCAGGCAGGGGCGGGCTGGTGGGTGAGGAGAAGGAAATAGGGCCTGTGTCTCATCCCAGCAGCTTGGGAGAGCTGGGATGGAAACTCTAGGTTCCCAGGCCAAAGTTCATCTCTGCCCCTTGGGAGAATCAAGAGCTCCCATTCTAGGACCCTTCTTTTTGCAGCTCTTCTGAAAATCTTCCCCTTTCTACCAAGAAAGACTACCCAGCCAGCAAGACCACTCTGCACTGTCTACTTCCCAGCCCTGGGCAGAGCAGCCCCCGCACCCTGAGACCGACACTGTAGGAGACTATCCTCTCCAATCCATGGGGCAGGCTTTCCTAGCTCAAATTCTTGCTTTCCTGGCACATTCTTCTGATTCTCTAGCTTCTCTTCTATTATTACCTATTATTCCATAGATGAGGAAACTGAGCTCAGAGAGGTTAAGCAACTTGCTTGAGGTCACACAGCTATGAAATGGCAGGGGAAGATTTGAACCCAAGAGATCTGGCTCCAGAGTCTGTTCCTGACTCCAGCTGTTGCTGCCTCTCTGTGCCACTGTGGTTGCTATTCCAGGTGGAGCCCATGGAGCACACCAAGAAACTTCTCTACCAGTATGAGACCATGATACAGCTGAAGAATGAGGAGAAGTTGTCCAGACATCAGGTCTGGGAATCGGAGCTGGAGGTAGGGTTCCATGAGAGAGTGGGAAGGTGGGAGGTAGCAGGGGTGAGGGGCGGTGTGTGACTTAACCATACCCTCCCCCACTTTCCAATTCAGGTGCTGGAGATCCTGAAGCTTCTAGAGGAAGAGGAGGAGGCACACACGCTGAAAATCTCCATCTATGACACAAAGCGCAATGAGAAGAGCAAGGAGTACCGGGAGACCATGGTGAGCCTCGCTCCTTGACCCCGGCCCTGACTTTTTCTGGACTCCCTGGGCCTCCAGAGTGATGAGGATGATTCGGGATTCTGCCAGGAATCTCTTTATAGGGGATGAAGTTATTGACACCATTATGGTCATCCTTGCTGCTAAGCTGACCATTTCTATGTTTCACCCCAAAGAGCACCCAGGATCCAAGCCAGGTCTCCCCCACTTTCAGGGGCTGAGGCCAACCCAAGGCCTCTACTGCACACAGAAAGAATGAAAATTGTGAGCCCACCTCCACATGGGGCTCCCATTGAGGCTGAGACCTGGCTGTTAGCCTCAGCACGCCAACTCTAGCCATAGGCATGAGTTCTCCATCCCCTGCAGCACAGAGTGTTCAGGTTACACCCTCAGGTCGCAAGGCCCAGCTTGGTTTCGAAGCCAGCTTCTAAATCTCCTTCACCAACCAAGTACAGATTTCTAAAAATAGTTTGAGGTTGGAGAAGCAAGACAGGGCATCATATGACTGGTTCTCAGACTCCTAGGGATGGGTATCAGTCCCCACATCTCCAACTTCCTTGGCCCTTGTTTGCCAACACAGACATAAGGCTCCAGGGTGAAAGGGAAAAAGGGAGAGAGTTACTAGCAGTTTTTATTTAACGTCATTAATAACAACCATTCATTACCATTTACTGAGCAAGCATCTACTGAGCATTAGGTGTGTGCTGAGGCTCAGGTAGAGACACGTGAATTCATGTAAGACAGAGTTGACTGTTACCAATAACCACAGGTACAGGAGATAGCACACAGGCCCCTCTGAAACCTCAGTCCCAGAGGCACCAAGGACTGGGTTCTGGATTTGAGGCCTGGTTCTGTGTGGTCACATGTCAGTGCAGAGCTGGCCGGGAGGTCTCTGCAGCCCCTGCTGGTCCAGCTGACCCCTCCCCCACCCTCACAGGAGCGAGTGATGCACGAGGAGCACTTGCGGCAGGTGGAGGCCCAGCTGGACTACCTGGCCCCGTTCCTGGCACAGCTACCCCCAGGAGAGAAGCTGACACGCTGGCAGGCCATGCACCTCAAGGATGAGTGCCTCAGTGACTTCAAGCAGCGGCTCATTGATAAGGCCAACCTTATCCAGGCCCGTTTCGAAAAGGTATAGCCAGGGCTCGGGCAGAGGAGAAGACCTCGGCATCCGCATCTTGAAAATGGGCTCAGGGCTGTTTGCCTACCATGTCACAGACTTGTGAGGGACTAATTGCTTGGAGTTTCCAAATGACCAAGTTAAGCAAATGAATGGATGGATGGGTGGTTGGATGAATGGGTGGAGGGATGGATGGATGGATAAATGCACCATGCAGTTCCCATACATCATCTCATTAAATCTTCACAAAGAACTCTCTGTGGTGGTGGTGATGATGGTGGGTATATACAATGATCCTCATTTGGCAGACAAAAAATTGGAAACTCTGAAAATGTAATTTGTCCAGAGCCACATGGTTGTCTCAGTCTTGGATCCTGCTCTGACATCATGGACAAAATATCCCTCTAAACACAACTTTGGTGGCTCCCACTCAAGCTATTTTTTGGCCCTGCCTCTGTTCCTCTGGCTTCTGTGGGTGGGGGTAGCAGAGTCAACCCTCGGGCTGTGTGGTGATCAGGGGGTCTCAGCCCACAGCCTGGGTGAGGGTCAGCTCTCATCAACCCTCCTGCTCTCTCCTCCCCATGCCCACAGGAGACCCAGGAGCTGCAGAAGAAGCAGCAGTGGTACCAAGAGAACCAGGTGACCTTGACGACCGAGGACGAAGACTTGTACCTGAGTTATTGTTCTCAGGCCATGTTCCGCATCCGCATCCTGGAACAGCGGCTTAATCGGTGAGGGGACAGAAGAGCCCGAAGGGACCTACTAGGAAGCTGGAGCACCAGCTTTATAACCCTACCACCACCTCTCCCTACTCCCTCTGATTTCAGACACAAGGAGCTGGCCCCGCTGAAGTACTTGGCTCTGGAGGAAAAGCTCTACAAGGACCCACGCCTGGCAGAGCTCCTGAAAGTCTTTGCTTGATGCCTCTCCTGGGGCTTCAGCCTAAACTGCCAGAGAAAGAAACCTCCCCACAGCTCAGCCTCTGTATTCCCTACACCCAGCTAATGACCGCGGACTCAGGTACCTGGCCTCGCTGCCACTCCACCTCCCTGCAGCCCTGCCTGTTCCTGCTTCTCATGCGTTTATTTTCCTGTAAATAAACACACTTTTAATTTGCAATTTATACCTCATGTTTCACAAGCTCCAGCACCAGCCTTTCATCCTTCCCTTGCTTATCTATAGCCTGGGACCACCCCCTGCACCCACCTTGCCACCTAGGACACTGACTTTCTGTCCTTTCCATTGGAATGTTGAGCCTTTGCAGCACCTGTGCAGATGGTCTCAAGAATTATCTAGCCTAAAATGGCAATAATATGGAGGCTGAGCAACCCTGCTTGGTCTCAGTGGAAACGAACAACAACCACATGAATAACATGTTTGCATTTCTTAAAAATAATATCAAAGATTCCAGATACAAAAAAGTATGTACTGCATGATTCAATTTCTATGAAGAACAAAAAAAAGGCAAAATTAACCTATGGTCTTAGAAGTCAAGGTAGTGGTTACTCTTCGAGGTGAGGGTTAGTGAATGGTAGGGAGCACCAGGGGAACTTCTGGGGCACTGGTAATATTCTTCTTGATCTGAGTATGTTCAGATGGTAAAAACTCATCAACCTTGTACACTTTCAGTATACATGGGCTATGTGTATTATACTTCAGTACTGACTGTTTCAAAATGGTGATCATGACTCTTAATCAAACTTTAACTTCCATTTAAAAAGAAATTCAGGCCCTGGCCGGTTTGGCTCAGTGGTTAGAGCGTCGGCCTGTGGTCCGGAGAGACCCGGGTTCGGTTCCCGCTAAGGGCACGTGCTTCGGTTGCAGTTTGTCCCCGGCCCTGGTCGGTTGTGCGGGTGGCAGCCACTCGATGTGTCCCTTCACGTCGATGTTTCTCTCTCTCTCTCCCTCCCACTCTATCTGTACAAAGAAATGGAAAAATGTCCTCGGGTGAGGATAAAAAAAAAAAAAAAATAAAAATAAAAAATAAAAAGAAATTCAGGGGAAAAGGAATAAGGTAAATGACACTAGAAGGGAAAAGTCAGACAAAATTATAATATGGAACAGTCTACAAAGTAAATGGCCCAATCTCTTCAAAAGATCAATGTCAGCCCTGGCCGGTTTGGCTCAGCGGTTAGAGCATTGGCCTGCGGTCCGGAGAGACCCGGGTTCGGTTCCCGCTAAGGGCATGTACCTTGATTGCAGTTTGTCCCTGGCCCTGGTTGGTCGTGCAGGTGGCAGACACTCGATGTGTCCCTTTCACGTTGATGTTTCTCTCTCCCTCCTACTCTATCTGTGCAAAAAATGGAAAAATGTCCTCGGGTGAGGATAAAAAATAAAAAAAAAGATCAATGTCATAAAAAATAAATTGGGAAAACCAAATAGAATGAGCTTAAAAGAGCCAAGTGTGTGGAATCTTGATTGTTTCCTAGTTAGGGAAAAAAGTTATTAAAAATATTTGTGGGATGATTATGAAAATTAGGACTGGAAAAGAATTGTTAGTTTTTTTAGGTGTGGTGATACAATGGTTATGTAGGATGAGGGCTTGCTTTTTAAGAATTAACATGCTCAATAGTAGTTAGTGTCAGGGTGAAATGTCTTGATGTCTACAACTTCCCAATGGTTTGAAGAACACAGACGGATAAAGGAAATACAGCAAAATGTTAGCAAGTGTTGATATTCACACTGTCATGATTATATTAGTGAAGCATTATACATCATTGTAGTATTCTCTCAAGTTTTCTCTATTAAGTTTTCATATAAAAAGTTGAGAAATACAGGCTGGGCAGTTTTGATCGGATTTTACTCTGCTAATCTAGTCCTCTTTTTATAGTGCCCATGTGGCTCTCCAGTCTGCTTCCAAAAATACAGCGTGAGGGTGGACCCTCTGCCTCTTTCTGGCAGAGAGGGTGCAGCGCAGTGGAGAATAAGCCCCCCCACCCCCCCACCCCCCCGAATCACAGATGAAGTCGGCGTTTCTCCGATGCCTAGGCGGTGATGCCTTTAAGGCGGCGGCCCACTCATCCCTCCCCCGAGACGCCGGCTGTGGGGGCAGCACTCCCGGGCTTCGCGCCTAACTCGGACCCAGAATCCGACTCTCTTTCCCTCTGGATCTCTTCTGGGGGATTCAAGCCCGTGTTCGAGCAAAAGAAGAGGGAAAGGTCCTCAGGCCACAGCGGAGCCGCCCGCAGGTAAAGGGAACAAGCAGGAACCACAGCAAAACGCTGACTAAGTGCTCCTCCCGCTTCGCCCCACTCCAAGATGGAACGTCCGCGGCTTCACTCTGCTCTCGACGTCTCCTTCCCATTGGCTATCTGGAAATTGGTTTTCCAATAATGCGGAGGCTGATTGGTCGAGCTGAGACAGTTGCTAAAGCAATTGGTGCAACCGCCATTGGAGGGCGTCTCGCAAATTTTTCAAACGCAAACTAGGTTCGAGGAAGAGAAGGCAAGGTGAAGGAAAGGGAAAGTTGAGGCGGAGGCGGGACCAAGGAAACGGCAGCCCGCATTGGTTCGTTAGAGGCCGAGGGGCGGCTCTTGAACGCTCCTTCCTCGTGATTAGTCCAACTCAGGAAAAGAGGGCGGGTACTTGGGAAAAGCGGCAGAAATGCCTGCTTCGATTGGTCAAACCTGGCGGGAGGAGGAGCGCTCGGGGCGGCTGATTGGTGCAAGAGGTCAGGGGGCGGGGCTATAAGCTGGAGGATTTGTTGTGAGGGTCGGTTGTCAAGCAGCGACCAATCAGGGCAGGGGATGGAGGCAAGTGGGGGTCGCCACTGGAGCAAAGCCTAGGCCTCCGGAGCCGCAGCTGCAGGTGGAGTGGGCAAGGGGGCGAGGAGGCGAAGGTACGTACGGTGGGCCCTGGACCGGGCCGAGCCATGCGGGGCGGGGTTGGGCCGGGCTGCGGCGGAGAGGGCTCCGGGCGCAGGGTGGTTGGAGCCCGTCCCCGCCAGCTGAGAGGAGTGGGAGGATCTGTGGAGGCCAAGGGACCAGCCTTAGCCTCCGGAGGGGCGGGACCGGCGTGGAGGCCTGAGGGCAAAACCTGGGAGGCCGGAAGCCGAACTGGGGGTCTGCTAGAGGATGGATAAAGAATGGGGACACTAGAAGCAGGAGAGTGAATGAATGGGGATACTGGTAGCAGAGGGGAAAAGGGAGTAAAGTTCTGGCGAGGCAGGGCCAAGTTAGGGAGCCCAGGAAACAAGGTGTATATGAATGGGGGGCACAGGAGGCAGGGAGGAGTGGAGGACTAGAGAGGCAGGGCTGGGGAACCCAGGGGAAAGGGGATGGAAAGGAGAGGTTTCATGGGGAAAAGGCTTAGAGGAAGTAGGTAAGAGGCTCCATAAGGTGGCCTTTTAGATTGAGTCATATCGGCTTATGCTCAGGCTGGAGACCTAGTTCCCAGTACTGTCCTTGGGAATTTCAGGGACTGGAGTGGTTCGTTTGCCACATACTCGGGGGAGGGGGGGTTGGGATCCTCAGGGCCCTGTTTGACATTCTCCCCAGAGGTTTCAGAACCTGTCTCTGGATTGCCTCTACTGGGCCCCCAGGTGCCTTGACTCCACCCCTTTCCCACATGTCAGGTAAAACAGTGACTCTCAGAAATCTTTCTGAACCACAGACACGTGCTCTCCCGCCCCACTGCGGCTGCTGCACCTCAGGCAGCCTGCCTCCTGGAGCAGGACCTCCTCCCATCATCCTGGCCTTGGGGAGGGCCTACTTTTTCCCTAGATTCCAAGTCACCCTGCCTGAGGTGTCTCCTCTCCTGATTCTCAAACCCAGTTTGCAGTGCAGCTTCTGGCTCTTTGATGGGTGTCTGTCTTGATCAAGCCTGAGCGATCCAGGGAACTGCAGCTGCAGTCTGCAAATCAGGGTCCCCCTGAGCTCCCCCTGAGTGTTTCCTAACAAGCCATCACTTCTGTTTGTGTTCCAGCCCAGTGTTGAGCTGAGATGGCTCAAGCCTGACATTCCATGATCCACGATCCCAACAGGCGTGCACAGGCTGCTGCTGTGACTGCTGTGGATGATTTAAAACTAAGAGTTGGTCCAGAGCTGGGAGAAAGGCATTCCCTCTATCTGGATGTGTGGGAACTCCCTGCCAACTTGATTGGCGGATCTGGGGGGGATCCACCCCCACCCCTTGAGGAAAGCACAGTCTGTTTTGTGGGTGGAGCTTCAGGTGCCAGACAACTGAAGGATGGCCACCCCTGTGGTCACCAAGACAGCCTGGAAGTTGCGTGAGTGGTTTTCTTTTTTTTCTTTCGCACCCTATTTATCCTGTTAGCTATTTGTTGCTGGGGTGGCCTGAACCCCTAGCTATGTCTTCTATTTTTGGCACAAAGGGGAGACTCTCAGGCCTTGGAGTAAGATAGACCATGATGCAAATCATGACTTCGCCACTTAGCTGGGTAACATTGGCCAAGTGACTTAACCTCTCAGGGGCTTAGTTTCCTGTGTGTACAATGAGATAATCACATCTATGTTCTAGAGTTGCTGTGAGATTCAAGTGAGAAAATGAACATAAGAAAGCACTTAGTGCAGGATTTCCAGTTAGGCTGGCAGGCAGAATGGGGTGAAAAATCCTGAAAGATATTCTTGATATTTTCAGACATCTCACATCAAACTTGTGAGGCACCTTAGGGCAGGGGCCAGGGTGAGAGGGTAGGCAGAGGAAGGTTGACAGGGCCCTGGAATGTAACTGATCGTGAGCACAACCCACACCCGTCCTTACTCTACATAGCAGCTCTGAACTCTTTGATCCGAGGACCTCCTTATACTCTTTTTTTTTATGACTTTTATTTTTATTTTTTTTAATTAATTAATTTATTTTTGTTACAGATGTTTCTCCTTTTTCCCCCACTGATTCCCCCCACCCTCCTTATACTCTTAAAAATTACTGAGGACCCTGATGAGTTTTTGTTTATGGGAGTTATATCTATCATTATTTACCATGTTAGCAATACTGAGACATTTTCTTTTTTTTTTTTTTTTATCCTCACCCGAGGACATTTTTTCCATTTTTCACTCAGATAGAGCGGGAAGGAGAGAGAGGAAGAGAGAGAAACATCGATGTGAAAGGAACACATCGAGTGGCCGCCACCCACACGACCCAACCGGGGCCGGGGACAA